GTCCTCTCCCTTGAGTTTGGGGGCTTGGGGGATCGGTGTGCAGGCACACCCCAATTCCAAAACCCACACAGCCCTTGGAGGCCCGCAGGGGTCAGCAGACGAGTGGCGCGGCGCATCCGGGTTTGGGTGCGCGCCCTGCGCACCACGCCCGTCTGCCGGGTGCTGGGTGGGGATTCCCGCCAGGGAGCTCTGGCTCTGGCTCCTGGACCACACAGGCGCCTCCCAGGACCTTGGGCTCCTGGCACCCCTCCAGCCCCTCTGGCCTCTCAACTTTGGTCCATCCTTCATGCCTCTGCCAGACACACCTGTTCACGTTCACAGGCTCGCTCGCTCGCTCACGAGCAGCCTCTCCTCGCTTCCTAGGTGTCACATTGCCTTCCTCACCCCTTTCCTGGTCCCCACATTTCGGCGGGCACAGTATTTCTAAAACAGTAGTCGACCCCACTGTGCCCCTTCGTAAAACCCTTTTGTGGATCCACATTCTTTCGAGAGAAGATTCCAGACACAGCAGCCGAGAGCGAGGACCTGCACCCCGGGTCCTCGGGCGTCTCCACCTCACTGTCCATTCCCCCGTCACCGTGCTCCACCCCCTCTCCCTCCTCCTGGCTTTCTCCCCCGGAGCCCGGCGACCCGCACTGTAGCCTACACATCCTGCCCTGGCTGCGTCCGAGGGTGCTACGTGACTGGGTGGCCCTGGCTGGCCATCACCAGTGGCCGCGGTCCCCGCAAGAAGTGAAAGTCAGCGTTTGGAAACTCAGGCCGTCTGACCTGGCTGTGAGTTTATATATCACAAAAGCGTGGGTGGTGATGGGTTTGTCCTAAACCACGGAAGCATTGACCTGAGGCCCGCGGAGCCCCAGACCCGTCTGCCGGATGCGGGCCAGCTGGGAGGCAGGGCCCGGCCTCACGGGAAACGTTGGAGGGAAATGAATTCTTACCTTATCACGTGGCGGACTATAGCTGTCTGGTGTTTTTTGTTCATTTGATGAGTTGACCATCTCATGCTTTTTCTCTGATGACTTTGTACTGGTTGTTTGATCACCATCTCGTAGGCTGCGGGTCAGGCCCTGGCGTGTTCTTGGCAAAGTCAGCGGTTTGGGGATGAATCACGGTGTCAAAACCCTGTGATTTCTTCTTCCGGTGTCTCTGGCCAGGGTCAGGGTTATTGTGTTGATCAGTTTTGAGCTCACAGAGGTGGTTGTGCAGCAGCTCTGGACCACTTTAAATGTCGGCCCGCAGGTCTGTGGGTGTGTAATCAGCCGGATTCCCAGCAGCAGGCATGGCTGTGCGCACTTCCTGTATCACGGGGGCATTGCTTCCCACGTCCGCGTCCCAGGAGGGTCCTGAGGGATGTGCGTGTGCATGAGGCGGCGATTGCCAGGATGCGAAATTGTACTGACTTACAAATTCACCCCCGTTCGAAATTCTACTCAGATAGATTGAAGGGCGCCTGGATGACTCAGTCGATTAAGCGTCCAACTCTTGATTTCAGCTCAAGTCACGAGCTCATGGTCGTGAGATCGAACCCCGCATCGGGCTCTTTGTTGAGCGTGGAGCCTGCTTGGGCTTCTCTCTCTCCCTCTCTGCCCCTTCCCTGCTTGCTCACGCTCTCTCAAAAATAAACAAAAACTAAAAAAAAAAGAATACTATTTTTAAAGGTTTATTTTTTAGATTTTTTTTATTAATTTCTGAGACAGAGAGAGAGAGTGTGAGCAGGGGAGGGTCAGAGACAGAGGAAGACTCAGAATGTGAAGCAGGCTCCAGGCTCCAGCACAAAGCCCGACGCGGGACTTGAACCCATGAACCGTGAGATCATGACCTGAGCTGAAGTTGGCTGCTTAACCAACTGAGCCACCCAGGCGCCCCAAGGTTTATTTATTTTTTGAGAGAGAGTGCGGATCGGGGCAGCGGAGGACAGAGAATCCAAAGCGGGCCCCATACTGACAGCACAGAGCCTGATGCGGGGCTCGAACTCACGAACTGTGAGATCATGACCTGAGGTGAAGTTGGACGCTTAAGTGACTGAGCCACCTAGGCGCCCCAAAGAGAATACTATTTTTAAAACGTAGATTGGCTACAGTCGCTGTGTCTTTGAGCCTGGCTGGTTGCGTCCTCATGAGGAATTTACTCTGTAATTTGATTCATTCATCTGCTTCCTTTATCATCCCAAACTCAAGTCCCTGGTGGCTGGTGGCTTTTAGTCCCTTGGTGCCATTATCCTCACGGCCGGGACAGACTTCCTGGGCTGGACGTGAGGGGCCATGATGGGTGGGTTGGCCATGATGGGAGCCTTTTCCAGGGTGGAGGGCGGCTCCTGAGAGTAGCTGCTGTTTTTGGAGCTGCCCATCTGGCGGGGCGGCCACCCCAGGTGTCGGGTCTGTCCACATCGCCGGGCTCTTCAGGGATCTTCGGCCTGGGGTCCCAAGCAGAGCTGGACCGAAGCTGGGTGGGATGGGGGTGCGTGACCCCTCAGGTCAGAGACACTAGCACTGTGAGAGCAGGAGTCATCTGAGAACCCCCCCCACCCGCCCCGTGCTCGTCATGTATCACCTGGTAATAAATACCCACAAACCCGAAATAGCGCACGTGTCTCATCTCACTTTCTCTGGTCAGAAGTCAGCAGAGGACGCTTGATTGCAGCTCAGCTCGTGATCTCACGGTTCGTGAGTTCAAGCCCCACGTCAGGCTCCATGCTGACAGTGTGTGGAGCCTGCTTCTGATTCTCTCTCTCCCTCTCTCTGGCCCTCCCCCGCCCACACTCGCTCTCTCTCAAAATAAATAAACTTAAAAAAAAAACCCTTAAGAAAAAAAAGAAGTCTGGGCTTAGCTTATTGGGTCCTGCACTCAGGGCCTCACTGGTGCAGTCATTTCTGGAGCCTGCGGCCCCCTGCGCTCCCGTGGCTGCGGGCACCGGCCGTCAGCCGGGGTCCCTCTCAGCTCTTAGCGCCTGCCTGCAGGTCCTGGCCACGTGGCCCCTCACAGGCCCTGTCCACGTGCCAGCTTGAGCATCTGTCTCACTTCTGTCCCTCTTGTAAAGGGCTCGCCTGATCAGGTGAGGCCCACCCAGGATGATCTTTTGATTGTCTCCTGAATCAGCTGAGGGACTTTGATTGTTTTTGCATTTCTCTTTGCCGTAAGACGTAACCCAGCCACAGGGGTGGCGTCCATCACACTCCCAGTGCTGCCCCCACTCGAGGGGAGAGGATGATGCTGAGCCGTACTCCAGGGCGGGGGTCTCGGGGACCCGCCAGAACTGGGCCTGCCACACTCCTCCCTGCCTGAGTGCCCGTCTTCCCTCTGTCCCCTTTCCTGCTTCTCACATCCGCACTCTGCCCGTCCCCTTTGCCCTCCTCCACGACCTCCCTTCTGTTTCCCTGACCCCTCGCCTGTTCCTCCCACCCAGGCTGGGGCCACAGCCGTCTGGCCTGTACCGGCTTAGACAGGGAGCGGGCAGCGCGGAGCCCCCCCGCCCCCAGGAAGGCAGGGAGGCAGGCTGCACCCAGTGTGAGCCTCGCCCTCTCGCTGGCCCGGCGAGGGGCCGCAGCACCCCAGCATGGCCGGACGTTGGTCGAATGAGCCCTCCCTGCCCCTCCCCTTGAGCTTTGCTGGATCTTTTTATAGACCCCGAGCGCCCCTTCACGCAGTGTCACGTGGTTGACAGAATTGCAAATGGCACCGAGGTATCAGAGGTCTGAGGCCGTTGTGATTGTAGACGCCGCAGACTCGAGGGGCCTGGGCTTGGGCTGATTAAGGAACCATGTGAATGAATAAAGTTAGAATAGATTCCTTATGAGGACACACACCGGCCGACCTCTGATGGGTCAGTGGTGGTTCGTTTCCAACTTAGATGAGGATTTGCACAGAAGATAAACTTGTAATTCAATACAAATGTGGGGGCGGGGTGTGCCTGACGTGAGCCTGGCCCTTTGGGAGACGCTGGATGGTGATACTCGGGCCCCTCTTGCCTGCTGGCCCCACACCACACCGCAAGTACTTGGCCGTCTGTCCTGGCCCTATTTTAACATCTGAAACTGTATCTACAGAGCTGTTGGTGGAAAAATTACAAGTGTAACCGCCCCCCCCCCCAAGAAGAATTAAGTGGAAAGAAGGGGGAATGTGTTTGGCTCCGAAAAGCCTGACTTCCGGTGCATCTGCACCTGTTACCTGACTGAGCCATTCGCCGTGTTGCTAAAATGGTGCATAAATGTCCGATTTGTAAAATCGGCCACGGTGTTCAAGTGGCAAGTTCCGTGGTGTTGGTCAGCCCATCTTCAGTACAGTGCGGCTAAATAGTTGATACGTAGTTAGATGGAGGTTGTTTTGTTTTTCATGTAACTCTTCCAACAGCGAGAGAGTCCTGCTGTGGTCTTAGTTCTCTTGATGGAAAAGAGAGCACTGCAGGTGTTTGGGGGGAGCTGAGGGCAGAGCGTGTCCTGAGAGGCGACTAGACAGGAGTCCTGGAAAGCAGCCGTCGGAGTCGCAGCCCGGTGCCTGCGGACGGGGCTGGCAGCCTCTCCAGGCCTCCACTTCCTGCTCTGCACAGGGCGGGGTTGAACTAGCGGCCTGTGGCCGTGCCCAGCGCTAATGCTTTGCTCTCTGCGATAGTCCGTCAGAGCTCCGGAGGAAGGCACAGGGCCCAGCCCTGCCACTTACAGGCTGTGTGACCTTGGTCAAGTTACTCACCTTCTCTGTGCCATAGTTCCCTCACCCATAAACCAGGGATGGTAACGCTATCTACCTAACAGGGCTCTTGCAAGGAGCATACGGCATGATCATGTAAAATCCGCGGAACAGCGTCCTCTCGGCGTTCAGTAAGGGCTCCCTAAACGGTAGCCATCGTGTTACGATACTGTCACTCCCGCTGACCCTTCACTCTTGTGAGTCTGCGATGTGTTCCCAGATGTTTATTAAACCCTGAACAAAGTCCCTTGCACCAGCCTCGTCATTTACTGGAAAGGAGGCGCTGGTCTGTCGTCTAATGAAACTCCTGTGTGTTTCAGGCGGAGGCGAGGCTGGCTGCGAAGCGTGCGGCCCGCGCCGAGGCCCGGGAGATCCGAATGAAGGAGCTGGAGCGACAGCAGAAGGAGGTAATGCGGCCCCGCTCTTTATTGACACCTGTTGCCGTTGACACACCTGTCCCTTTGACACTGCCCGCGATCGGAATGTGCCGTGCCTGTGACTTGGTTCAAGGTCAGGCCAGGGAGCGCGCATAGCACGGATGCCAGGCGTGCCAGGCCTCGGCGTGCTGGGTCCCGAGCAGCGCCCCGCACGCCCGGTGCCTGCAGACGTCTCCCAGCCCGGCCTGCTGCCTGAAAGCGGCCGGGAGCCGCGGGTGGAACGGTCAAGCCAGAATCTCGAGCTGCCTCTGAATTAAAATATGAAAGAACGGGTTATTGTTTGTTTAAACCAACCAAACTGCGTTGAAAAACATTTCCCCAGTGGTTTTTACATGTTTTAATAGGTTTCGTGATGACTGGAGCCCACGGGCGGGGGAAATAGCTAGGGAAGCGGACAGTCCTGTCCCGCCCGGGAAAGCAGACGGTCACGTGTGTACACACCTGTTAATGCAGTTATGCGCTTATTTCATGATCTTGGGCTGGAGCCCGAGTCGTGTGGGCCGTATGGGGACTCTTGAAGTCAGAGCAGGGAGCCTTCCCATGACCTTGAAGTCAGCGTGAAAGAAGGAAGTCCCCGTCCCCCAGACCGGCGTCCTCTGTGGGTCGTACCCTTCGGGAACATCCACACCAGGCACCGCTCGAGGGCTCTTCTTGTTCAGAAGATGTGGGTTTACTGTGCTGCGGGGGGGCAGCCGGGCGCTCTGCCCAGGCCGACGGCGCAGAGCCAGCATTTCAAAGCGGAGCCTGTGTTCTAAGGCGTGACAAGTTTCAGATAAAAACCCGGATTTCCAGTTCCTCCTAAAATCACCGCAGGTTCCGCCACCCAGGCTCACGTTCCCTGGCCACCAGCCCCAGGTGCCCTTGGTCATTTCCCTGCCCGTGGGGTGTGCCAGTCACGTGGTGCGGATGCAGAAGCAGAAGCAGGGCAGGGGCGTGGCCACACTTGGATTTGGGGAAGAAATCTCTTCCGTGCAGGTTGAAGAATAGATGGAAGGTGACCAGAAACTCCAGGCCAGGATGTTCCTTAGGAGAGTCCAGCCACAGGCCGATGTCCCCGCAGTGATGGGACAGGCGGGAACGTGGTTCCCCAGGGAAGGGCCACTCGAGCCGTTCCTGGCAAGTGACCCAGGAGGCCGAGTGTCCGTCACACTTTGGCGGTAACTTAGCTGTCGTCCTGTGTTTACAACGTGAATGAAGACTAAACAAATATTTGAAAGCAAATCACCACGTTCTCTCTCCTCGTCAAAAAGGCAAATTCAGTTGTGAGTCTGCCTCCAGAATTAACTTTATTTTTTTGTACTTTTTTTTCCTGTTAATTTATGCAGAGCACGGGTTTGCCCCTTTCACAGTGCCTTCCCCCAAGAGTCGCATGTGTAATTTTAAAACTGGATATGGGGCCGCTTGAATTTTCATGTTAATTATTTGGACTCGACTGTTGAGCTGATGGCCACCGTGAAGCCCCTCCCCTGCCGTTGCCTCAGGGGTGAGCTTCGGCTCCAATCGGAACGGGGACCTGACTGACACCCGCCCGTGAACCCCAGGTACCCGTCATACCAGGAGCGACTATTGACGATCATGCAAAGAAGCATTTTCAGGACCATCTCTGGAAAGAGCGTTTGAATGAGAGGTGGAGACAAAGTGTAGATGTTGTCGCTGGTACACTTTGTCACAGACCTGAGACAGCGTCACCCGTGCTTTAGGACCCATCCTGACACCAGGCGCCATCTGCACACTCAGACACCGGGATTAATAGTAATCAGAGGCCACCTAATGGAAAAGTTCTCTTAGCCTGCACTGGTTTTAAAAAATAGGTATTTTTCTTTTTTCAAATGCTTTTTTCTTTTTTTTTAACTTTTTAAAATATTCGTTCATTTTTGAGAGACAGAACAAGTTGGGGAGGGGCAGAGAGAGAGGGAGACACAGAATCTGAAACAGGCTCCAGGCTCCGAGCTGTCAGCACAGAGCCCGACGCGGGACTCGAACCCACAAACCGTGAGATCATGACCTGAGCTGAAGCCGGATGCTCAACCGACTGAGCCCCCCAGGCGCCCCTCTGATGCCATTTTCAAACTGCCTGCTGTAGTTGCTCTCCAGGATATCTCTGTTCGTTCAGTGGAACTTGCACGCCCACCGAGGGCAGGACACAGTTGCCCCCCCGCCCCGGGGCCCCGGCCGTGACCTCACGCCTCTGGGGGCCCATCGGTGGTAAGCAACTTCCCTAGCTCTCCCCTGGAGCCCCAGGCGTCATATTAAGGTCGTAAGAGACGGAAGAACAACTTCCCGGCGTGTCTTGCACCTCCGCCAGGTTCTGCCACAGTCGCTGGCATCTGGGCACCGTGGGTGTTTCCGGTGGCCCGTGGCTGGAGCTGACACGGCACGCTAGGGACGAGGCAGCTGTGACGCCTCGGGGGCCGGGAGGAGGGCGTCTGATCGTATTGTCCCCGTCCACGCGTCTCGGGCAGAGTTAACGCCCCCCGAGAGTACGACGGGAGGGTGCTAGCGACCCCAGGCGCAGGGGCCGTGCAGTGCGTGCCTTCCGTCTGTCTCCAGGTCACACGTTTAGATGAACCGGGTCCTCTCCCGAATTAGGGGTCGAGTCGATTTAAACGCACGCGTGCTGACAGATGTGGACCGTCATCCGCAAAGTGCTTTGGCACAAGTTCTCGATTTAGAAAATGAAAGTTGAGAAGGACTGAGCCTCGGATCGTCTCCGAGTGGCCTCCGTACCAGCAGCCCCACGGTGCGCCGGGACAGGGCAGCGGCCGTGCCCGCCGAGGAGCTGGGCTCTGCAGAGGAAAGCCGGTTAGAACCAGCGATCTGACCACCACGCCGCAGTCGGCTTCCTTGGTCCTGCACACAGGTGTCGACCGAGTAGCACACGCGTCAGAATTCTGAAACTCTCCATTTTAACAGCATGTTTCGTATTTACTGCCAAGACGCGATAGTTTTGTCATGATTCAAGTCTGATGGAAAGTCTCACCTGGGAGCAGGTGTCATTGGGGTCCTGTCGGTACGCACACGGCAGAGGCGCGTTCAGCCTGGGAGCCGGTCTCTCCCCGCGTGTGGCTTCGAGTTGTGAGCACACCGGGAGCCAAGCGTGGCTTCACCTGTGAGAAAGGGCCTCAGGCGAACACTAGCTTCTTCATTTCTCTCCCCCTGTGACCTCACCCTCCTCCCCGCGTGACCTCACCCTCCTCCCCGCATGTCCTCCCCCTCCTCCCCGTGACCTCACCCTCCTCCCCGCGTGTCCTCACCCTCCTCCCCCTGTGACCCCCTCCCCGCGTGACCTCACCCTCCTCCCCCTGTGACCTCACCCTCCTCCCCGTGTGACCTCACCCTCCTCCCCCTGTGACCTCACCCTCCTCCCCGTGTGACCTCACCCTCCTCCCCGTGTGACCTCACCCTCCTTCCCCTGTGACCTCACCCTCCTCCCCGCGTGTCCTCACCCTCCTCCCCCTGTGACCTCACCCTCCTCCCCGCGTGTCCTCACCCTCCTCCCCGTGTGACCCCCCTCCCCACGTGTCCTCACCCTCCTCCCCGTGTGACCCCCTCCCCGCGTGTCCTCACCTCCTCCCCCATGTGACCTCACAGATGCAGTGGTTCACGGAAGGGGGAAGGCGCCTCTACGAATTCCTTCAGTGCTGAACTCAGACTCTTGTCTGGGGTCGGTCACGAGCCTGACGACCGGCCCCCACGGTGTGAACTATCCGTGTGAGCCGTGACAACTTGTACGTGTTGGGGAGGAAGCCGAGACGCTATCCCTGGTCCACACAGCCAGTGGGGACGCTCAGTGAAGGAGGGGCACGTGGGGATGGGCAGAACAGAGACAGCCAGGTCAAGGAAGGGGTGAAGCGTGGAGGGGACCCCCCGGTCTATCCTGCAGTTTATACTGACCTGGGTAGCTCCGCAACAGCACTGACCCGTCCAAACGACAGTCTTGCTTCCAGAAACGCAGGGTCTTTGAGCTAGGGGAGCATCGCTGTTTAATGCCCCCTTTCTTCAAAAAGGGGATTTGAAAGGTTTAAGTTAAAATAGGTGTGTATTTGCGAGTCAGAGAGCAGGGGTGGGGCCGAGGGGAGGAGCAGGGACCTCCTGGGGCCCCTGGCCCGGCGGCCCCCACACGCCTGGGTAGTGTCACAGTGTGCTTTACGGACAGCTTCCCGCACGGCTGCGATGGCTGAGCCAAGGCCCACACGTCGAGCTGGCCGGTGCACGGCCGCGCGCCTCCTCGTGTGCCCTCTGCCCAAGATCAAATAGACGGTTAACAATAAAAACAAACACGAGGGGCAGCGTCCACGGGATTGGAGTTGTCTGTGGGCTGCCAGGCACCACAGCAAACCAGTCGTTTCACAGGTACAAGCAAACCTTGGAAATCCAGCCTTTTCGTCGGCGTGGACTTAGAAGCCAGTATGATAAACATGGAGTAGGCACCTTTGTTAGCGAGAGTTTTACAGACGACACAGAAGCAGTAGTGCTTCTGGATTGGAGCTAGGTCCTGGGGGCGGGGACTGGACACGTGTGTGTGCGCGCACGCTCGCGTGCATGCGTGAGCATTCGTGTGCACCTCTAGAGGGAAGGGCGAGGCCAGCGAGCGGAGTCGGGATTCCGGAAGGTGTGCACACAACATTGGCCCAGCCCGCCCTTTGCATATCACATCTCTGGGCCGGACTATTCTTAGAACGTGCTAACACAATTCGAGGTTATACAATCCGATAGCCTGGGGTACTGGCATTTTAAGTTGTTGATTAAGTGGAAATGAATCTGCTTTGGAAGGAGGGTTGATGTTTTGGTGCAAAAAATTGGGAAACACGATCCCCGAGCCATCCATGTCTACACAGGTGTTTCTGAGCAGGGCCGGGAAGGGTTTCCCTGAGCGGGAACTCAGACCCGCTGACGGCGGACAGAGCCCATGAGTCCCTGGCGGAGGAGGAGAGACCATCCCTGGGGGCCAGGAGAGTGGGAAGCTGGTGACAGAGGCCGGGAGTTCCAGAGACGGGCTGTGTTTGGAGCCACACTGGGGCCCCAGATACCCCAAGACGGGCATGGAGAATGCTCAGAGGGGCGAGGTGAGCCAGCAGACACCGGCATACAGTGCAGATCGTCCTCAAGGGCAGGTGGGGCCGTGAGCTGGCTGCAGATTTACCCGGACCGCCGGGGCCAGCCCAGCCCTCCCTGGCGGCCCCTAGAGCTGCCCATCACGGTTCTCCTCCATGCAGATGGCGAGAGCCCACTGTGCCCACATTCACCGGGCTGGGGGCTGTTGAGAAGGATTCTGAGCTCCTTTCTAACGGATTCATTCGGGAAGAATGAGATGTAGATAGTCTTTGGGAACTCCTAGGGAACCTTTCATTTCACACAAGGACCTTCACTAAGAGGAAACAAATGGTGGTAGATGACCCGCTGGTATGATGGTCCGTGCGTTGAGAGTACTGTGTTTAATGTGATCGTAACGCTGGATGTGTTCACCTGTGCTCACCCACGTACGCCTCGAAACGCCAAGCGCTGGCAGTACCTTGAATAAAGCCTGACTCGGCAAATGCTTTGTTCTGTGAATGAATGAGGGAGTGACTGAGGGAATGAAGCAGGTATCTCTGTCTCACCTGGGGATTACGACACCGTGAGGAGAAACAGCTAAAGCAAATGAGTATGTCCGTGTGCAATAATGTATATTTCAGTTCTGTTCTAGTGATCGCTCTGTTGAGCTATAACTTTCCTGGCATTCTGTGTCTGTCTGCAAGAATCAGGACAGGAAAGTGTCTTCCTTCCCCATCTGTGAATTTCACCAGTCGACTTTATAACTCAGTTTCTGTATTTTCTAGTGAAACTTTTATCACTGTGCAAAGAAATTTAGAATTGAAGACAAAGTGCTTTTCCCCACTAGTTGGTGACCGGTTATACTGACTCGTGCACTGGAATGGTAACAGGATTCTTGTAGGGGTCCGTGTACACGCCCGGGCTTCACCATTGTGTGTGAAACAGAATGTAAAATGAGTCAGGAAATTAATAATCCCTTCAGTGAGACTTCAAATACTTTTCAGTTCATATTTTACCAGTATTCAGTGTGCTTTTCCTCCAGTATGATTTTTATTCACATTTCCAGGTAATTACAGAAACTTTCTTTCTGCTGTTTCTACTTTTGTAATTGGATTTCGTATTTCTTTTCCTGTTTCTTTTCCCCTTCTCTGTAGATCTATCAGGTTCAAAAGGTAGGCTCTTTCTTCTTTCTTCTTTGTTTTCTAAATTGCATGTACTAGTTTTTTCCTTGCCAAGGGCCTGGTCACCTTTCAGAAATAATGCCTTTCATTGAAAATAGAAGTTCTTACTGCTTCTTTTACTGCTTTGTTTATGAATTGGTTTGATCAGGAATGCCAGAGACGCTACTTACACCCCCGTAAAAAGCAACCATTAGACACCTGTCTGTTCACAGAAGGCTTTCCTTGTCTCTGCTTTTCTCAAGGAATTAGAAAAGTATTTCTTTGAGAAAAAAAATTCTAAGACAAAATAAAATCACATTTCAGAATTTGGGAAACCTTTGAAATCAGCTATTTAAAGAAAAAATTATCCTTCCACATAATTTTATTAGAAAAAAATTTTAAATATCAATGCAGATTACCATACACTAAGAGTATTAAATAGTGATTTAAAAATCTGAGCAAAAAAAGAAAATGATGATACAACAGTAAAACCCAAGAGCTTAAAATAGACCTGCTCCCATCCCTAACATTCAGGGTTGTAACGTGCCTGTCTATTCCCTAACCCTTCATAGAACCAGCTAAGGTTTAGAGGTAAATACACTAGCAGGGCAGGTGCAGAAAGTAAAGTAGGAAATAACCAGGCCAGGGGCTCCTCAATCATCCTCAATGATGATAGAGTGAGTGGTTGGTTCGTTGGGAATTCAGAGAGTGTGTGTACCCTGAGTCTTCCCCATGAATGTACCTGGTTTGTTACTTCTGACAACTATAATAGTTGCTTTTCATAAATATATTTAGTTGATAGATAAAGGAGTGTATCTTTGCTTTTAGAGCAGCTAAGACAATCAAAAGGAGATGACCATTTCAGAGGTTAGAATAAGCCCTTTTAAACACAGTCAGTACACTTAAAATTCCATCCATGGGGTCCTTTGTCTGCTATGATATCAGACTGCCTTTGCACCCTGTCCCCTCCCCCCCTCCACTATGTAAAACTGTTATCTGGTGGAAAGAAAGCAGATAAGTAGGTACCAGAATCGATTTGCATTTTATTAGTTTTTGTGGGGTCTGGATTGGAATGGATCTTGAGGTTAGATCCAAACATGCCTACTCTTACCTGTAGAGTCTTGGTAAGAATTTAACAAGTCAAAGGTTAAGGGGAACCCTCACTGTAACAACTTGTCCAGAACCGGAGAAAGAAACTGCACCTAGTGATTTCCACTCCGGTTCATTCCTTTCTAGTTCTAGATCACTTTTACCTTCTTTTTAGTAACACCAGGGATAGGGTGTTAGAACTCTGTCAGAACATTAACTTGTACACAAAGTAAAACCAGAAAGGAGCTCAGGAAGTCCCCAGTGCAAAAGCAGGTCTACGTTTTTGTCATAAAGATGTGCCAGGGAAGGGAAAGCTTTCCTTGTTACGATTTGAGAAAACGGAAAGGAGGCAGTAAACGTCTCTCGGCCCCTCTGGCTCTTGTGTGTGACAGCTCCTCTTCTGAATCAAAGCTATTTCTGAAAGTCAAACCGCTTTTGTAAGTTTGGCACCCGCTTCCTCCGCATGACTCACTGGCTAATCATAGTAGTTTACAGTTGAAACATTGTTGCTTTCTGCACTTGGCTGTGTGGCCTGCTCACTAACATCAGAACTGCTACTTAGGGGGACACTTAGCGTTTCTGGGGCTGTTCTCCTTCCCTGAAATGACATGGAAATGTAGCCACGGTCATAGCGGCTGTTTATAACGCCACCGTGAACTAGATGGAAGATTTTGAATGCTAGTTCTTACTTTTATCACAAAAGAGAGCAATAGACGGTGGGCCATGTCTGATATAGGTATAGAATTGGCAGACGAAAATAGAGAAACGGATAACACAAACTTCTTTTGGAATTTAGACAATTTTTGCAAATCGATATAGGCTCCTCCCTCCTTAAAAAAATAAATATTTTTCTCTCTTTGCAATTAAGCCAGGAAATGATGAGGTTTGATGGTATCTCATTTCACGTGAAATGAGAAACCTGGAATCTGGCCGGGAGAGTGGAGCCGGCGTTAATGCACAACGGCTTGATGCTGTTAAGTTGAATTGAACTTAAGACATCAAAGTAAGGAAAGTGGCTTATAGGAAGAGACTGCTCCTGTGGGTTTGATATCACAGTTCTGTACTGGGTGGGATGTGAATGCCTGCTTAAACCGCACGCTCCAGTATCTTCCCCTTCCAGACTGCCATCTTGAAGAGAACAGGCCACTAGCATCAGAGCCGTGTGTTTGAAATCTGGCCAGCCCTCAACATAAACTGAAACTAAGCCCAACATAGCAGCATGTTCGGGTGATTGGAAAACCATTTCAAAACTTGTCTTCTGCTTCCAGCATTTGATTTTTTTTTCTCTGATTATAAGGTTTTCACATATAAAGAGGAAAACCACATGTTGTCGGATACAGAGGTTTGGTGGGGTTTTCTTCCTGTTGGAATGGAGGGAGAAGTGAGGAGAAAGGCAGGACCCCACTATCTGAGCCTGTACTCCGGCTCCCATCTTTCTTTAGAATTACTATATTTAGGAACGGTAACAGCCATTCCGAGTCTGCTTTTCTAATTTAAACTTGACCCACCGTGGCTTAGACACACGAGGTAAAGTCCCGCAGACACTGGCTAATGAAAATGCCGAATATAACCTCTGTGAACGTAATTTTATTATTTTCTGCACCAGGCTCTCTTCTCAGCTAAGTCATCTTTCCATCGATGACATGCTGTAAAGACGTCCAAAGAACATAATTCTCCTGGGCCTAAATTTAGCATAGACATCGGATAGCTGGAAACTTGCGCTGGAGGCCTGGGGTCATCCCCCACCCTCTCCCCCCACCCTCACCCCCACATCGAGGAAAATCTTCTCGCTGCTGCTGTAGCAACCACATGGGTACCTTCGCTCTGCAGGCTCCAACAGCCTTCCCCACGGGCCGCTGGGCTGAGATCCCGTTCCTGGTCCAGAGCGCCTTGTCCTGGCCCTGCTGGCTCGCCCAGGAGGGGTGGGGTGAGGAGGGAGAGGAGGTCCCTCTGCACAGGCTCCCACACCCCGCAGAGTGCTAGGGAGTGCTCCCTGCGGGGCTGTGACCTTGGTATTTCCCGCTCTGCCTGGCACGTTACCCTCCCCGTGTGGCTTGGGCAGCCGTTTGGAAATGCATGTCGGGCGGTTTCTTGCGTGGTCACCAATTCCCTTCCTCCCTAATTTTCTTTCCCTTCTGTCCGTAGAAATATTATGGGCTGGATACAAAGTGGGGCGACATCGAGCAGTGGATGGTAGGCCTCGAATACAATTTTAAGAAAGTTAAATGGTTTATAATTTGATTCTTAATGCAGTTTAATTATGTTGAGAGATTCCTGCAGTACCGTAATTGAATACGGGGAGATTTTCTTCCCGGGGCTTCTGCGTCCGGTCTCACTGTTACGTCCCGGTGACGCGGGGTCAGGAACGGTCCCGGCCAGGCATTCTTGTCCGGTCTGTTCAGTGGACTCTGGGAGTCTGCAGGCAGGCGAGCAGCTTGGGGGTGTCCGGGGCACCACCTCCCTGTCGCCTTGGACAAAGGACTCTCTGCTGGGCACGCTCAGGAGATGGTGCTCAGGCGTGATGCTCTAGAGGGGAGCTTCCCCTTGCCCCGGGAGAACGTGGACCCACTCCTTCCCTCCTGGATTCATCCACCTCAATTCCCGCCCTGTCCCCCCATCCTCGACCCCTTATCGAATGGCCTCGATACATACATTTAGCAACTGAGAGCCTGGCCAGTGTGGAAATGCCACATTCAGTGTCCCTTATGGATAAATAATGCAAAGGAATGTAAAATTGCCTCCTCTCTTAGACACCTGTGTAGAATGTGAAAGAGAAGAGTTCTTGAAATATCAGGAGTATATACGTCCTTTACTGAAAAAATTATTAACTTACACTTTTACTATGTGTACACCATCATTTTAGGCTTCTATGGCATAGAAAAGTGTATTTTTATCAAATCTTAAGACCCAGTTAAAAGGTGCATCATTGCTTTGTATGCCATCGAGGAAGAAAAAAGTGCTGCTAATTATAATGTGAGCAACGTTGTTTATAAGACATAGCCCAACCGCAGATGTACAAATGTGGAAACTGCTGCGTATCTCAGAATGCACAAAATATAGAAGATTGGGTGACATCCTTATTGGATGTTTTACGGAAATGATTTATCTTCTGATTCCCAAAGGAAAGAGAAAAAGGTTCTGAATGTAGTGGGGAAAGTAGGTTAGTTTAAATGGACCACCTCATAGAGGCTGCGGACAAACTAAGGCCAGCCTTTCTCCTAACACACGCTTTTAAAGCCAAAATGAAAGAGGCCAATTACTTGTGTGCTTACAACCCTCCCCCCGCCAAAGAAAACATTCTTCCTCAGTGGTTTCATTGAAGCCCTTTAATGACAGCAAAGAAAATATTTATGTGCCATTTCTATCAGAAATGCTGTATTGTGTCACCAGCGGACTGAGGCTTCTGGTCTGTCTGTACCTGACCTTTAATGCTGTTTCTTCCATTGCTTTGGTAGGAAGACAGTGAGCGTTATTCACGTAGATCCAGAAGAAACACATCGGTTAGTACTGTGTTCATTTTGATTGAAGTCTAATTTGTAGTTGTAGTGGCTGAAATACTTACATTGTGTGTGTGCTTGTGTATATTTGTTTGTTTATTTTTTTAGCGATGCTTATGAAAGAAATTAACTTATGTGCATATTATTACCTAAACAAAGGCTTAGCATTTTGACCTAACTTTGTGAGGGGAGCATGGAAAATGTCTGGGTATTAATATATTCATGATGGCTTTTTAATTATAGTTTTTTATTATATTTTATTAATAATATTATATTATAGCTTTTAATTATAGTTTTAATTTATAGTTTATTGTGTTATAACACCCAGTGCTCATCCCAACAAGTGCCCTCTTCCGTGCCCATCATCCCCCCTTCCCCTCCCCCCACCCCCATCGGCCCTCAGTTTGTTCTCAATATTTAAGAGTCTGTTACGGTTTGCCTCCCTCCCACTCCTTAACTATTTTTCCCCTTCCCCTCCCCCATGGTCCTCTGTTAAGTTTCTCCTGACCCACATACGAGTGAAAACATATGGTATCTGTCTTTCTCTGCCTGACTTATTTCACTCAGCATAACACCCTCGAGTTCTGTCCACGTTGCTGCAAATGGCCAGATTTCATTCTTTCTCATTGCCATATTCATGACAGTTTTAATGCTCTTTCTGCTATCGAATACCCGTGAATGATTTTCAGAGTGACATGCATTGAGGCTATGTGTCCATCAGTTACCAGCAAAGTAATGACATTAAGGCAAAGCGGTGTCATCCGGAAACAGCCCTCTGTAAACAGAGGCGCACGGACGAGGCCGTTTGGGGAAGACACAGGCTCAGGTCCACGGAGATTTCCGAAGCCACCTGCGACGGTGTCGGATCGGCCGCGTCCCCTCTGAGGGCTGGACGTCGGTTTCTTTCTGTGTGTTCTATTGTGCTTCACGGCCGTTTCATCCTTTCTCTCACTAGGCTTCGGATGAAGACGAGCGCACGTCAGTGGGTAGCCGTGGAAGCCTGCGGGTCGGTAACCAGGATGCTTGGGTTCGCACGGTACAGTCTGTCGCCATTCTCTCCCGCCGCCTCCCCGCACTCAGATTTCGCGTTCGTTCCCCCGCAGTCTTGTCGCCAGTCTCTCGCTGAGAAGCTGCTCGTGTGAAATCTCATCGGGGGCGGGATGTCCCTTGTGTTGTGGAAGGCACCTCCGTCTGTGTCTTTCTCCCGCGTGGGGACTCACGATGCCCTGTGCTCCTCCTCATCACAGCACTGCGCGCCTCCATCGCCTTCTCTGTCCGCAGCGCTGGTGCGAGGACGGGAGCCGCTTGCCTGCATGCCCCCAGCCAGGCCTCGTCTCCGCCCAGGCACCTGTCACCCCGGGCTCCTCTCATGTAGCTCCTTGAAAACGGCAGTGGCCTCCCCGGCGGGAGCGCAGAGCGGGTTGGATCCGTGAGACCCGGGTCTGCTCGCCCAAGTCCTCCCTTCCGTCAGCTGCGAGGGACTTGCCTCGTCGCTGAGGCTCGATGGGTGGCAGAGACAAACACGCAGTTTTCCTTAAACGTTCCGGAACTCTTCATACTTAGACTGGAGAAGGTTGCACGCTTGGGGAAGCGAAGTAGAGAAGCTGTGTTTTGCTTAGTGCTTTGAGTCGCTGAGTGACCGCGAGCATGTCCGTTTTGTGACCACAGGGTTACAGTCGCTGTCGCTGCTGGTAAGAAGGAGGCCTCAGTACAGCTGCTCCTTTTTACTTAGGGCCTGTTTGGAGCAGAAAGCTTGGTTCCCCCCTAACAATTAAGTTACACTCTCACTCCTAGATTTCTTTTTTTTTTTTAATGTTTATTTATTTTGAGAGAGAGAGAGCAAGAGCAGGGGAGGGGCAGAGAGGGAGGGAGACGCAGAATCCCACGCAGGCTCCGCACTGTCAGCACAGAGCCCGATGCGGAGCTCCAACTCCCAAACCGCGAGGTCATGATCTGAGCTGAAGTCAAGACTTGGATGGTCAAGGACTGAGCCGCCCCAGCGCGCCGTCACCCCCAGACTCCTGAGTGTGCACTGAGTGTGCATCGCGCTGGCTGCTTCCAACAGTCGACTATGAACATAACACAGTGCTGTGCTCTCAGGCAGCCACCGTCAGTGTCCCGGCAGGCACCCGAAGCAGGTCCACGGTGATTTGGCCAGAAAAGTAACAATTCAAATGCGAAGCCCGTTCATGAGCTTCTGTGCTCTCTGTAACTTTCCCCTTAGCCATACGGTGGTCACTTCCTCATAGACCTGATCTCTACAAGAGTCAGGCTAGAGGAAGTAACTTTCTTGTAACCAGAACACTCTACATGCAAAACTCAGTTTGCAGGATCCGTGGAGGAAACCGAAGGGAGCAGGCCCGGCAGAAGGGTGAGTCCTTGAAACCAGGAGTAGAAGAGACTGTTTCCAGGAGGAAGAGAGGGGCCCCGTGAGCACGGGACTGAGGGCCTTAGCATCATGGAGGACGTCGACCTCGACAGGGAAGCTCTTGGTGGAAGGGGGCGGAGCGAAACCTGATTACTGCAGGCTCAAGAGAGAACAGCAGAGAAATTGGCCATAGAATCCAGATCTCTCAGAGCATCGTTTTCAGGTCTTTGATCCACCACACACGGTACTCAGGATTTTGTGTATCCTTGCATTTTTCTGGGAAATGACTTTGTCGCTTTCTTAACCTTCTCAGGAAGTCTCCTGACCCCAAGGAGTTTAAAACGATTGCAGTATTAGTGAGCGTCAGGTGTTTATAGCCTTCATATCCTTCTCAATGATTTTAACCCTACACAAGTCACATTTCTTTGCTAGGAAACATTCTTTGCCAAGATGTCAAGCATATTCGTTTTAAGGTATACAATTTTATAGAAGAGGCTCACAATCTGGATGTTCAATAAGAGGGGGAGAAAGTGGACAATCAGCTGTGAATGGGATTTTCACATTTAGTCAGGTGGTTTCTACACCACTCTTCCCCATGATACGCTTGATCTAATGAAATAACACTCTTTAAAAACCATAGACCTTGAGGGACGCCTGGGTGGCTCAGTTGGTTAAGCATCTGACTTCGGCTCAGGTCATGATCTCACGGTTTGTGGGTTTGAGCCCCGCGTCGGGCTCTGTGCTGACAGCTCAGAGCCTGGAGCCTGCTTCAGATTCTNTTAACACTATTGTACCATAAACTGAAAAGTGTTTAAGATAGCAAATTGTAGGGGTGCCTGGGTCGCTCAGTCAGTTAAGCATCTGACTTCGGCTCAGGTCATGATCTCACGGTTTGAGGGTTCCAGCCCCGCGTCGGGCTCTGTGCTGACAGCTCAGAGCCTGGAGCCTGCTTCAGATTCTGTGTCTCCCTCTCTCTCTGACCCTCCCCTGCTCACGCTGTCTCTCTCTCTCTCTCTCTCAGAAATAAATAAAAACATATTTAAAAAATGTTTAAAAACCCCCACAGACCTTGAGAACTTGGACCGTGGAGGTAAGAGGCAGACCTTGTAACTTTAATGGGCTCAGGCCAAGCCCAGATGAGCAAGGAGGTGACAACATCAGTCCCCAGGTCCTCTGGGACCCAGACGCTCCGGCTGGATTTGGTTGGCAGGCCAGCTGCCTGCTGAGAGGATGCTCATCTCACTCTGTCTGCTCAGGGTCAGTTCATGCTGTGCGTTTGTATCTTAGTATTCTGAAACCCTCCATTTACAGAGTTCAAACATCAGGTCTTTTATTCCTCGACTTTCACAAAATACAGGCCTTCTTCATTCCACTGACAGTGATGGTAAACCCAACGCGGGGAGATGTTATTTTCCTGGGATTTGCATGGACCTTCTTTCTCAGAAAACCTAGATTTGGGGTACCATAAGATTTCAATTTTTCTTAGTTAAAAATTGAGAGTGATGCACCGTTCCCCTTTTGTCTGATATAAATAGAATAGGTCTTACAGACGAAGTCACACTGCTCACACTGCCTCAGATTTCATGAATTACAGCAACATCGGCCCTGGAGGTTTTGTGTAACGTTACCGGATTTTATAACGTCCGTCATTCTAATGCGATTCTTTTTGTAAATACACACGAGATCCGGGAAGTCCTGAAAAAAATGTAATTTTGTTAAGATTTCAAGATCGCCTGCCTTTTGTTTTCTGTTTTGTGATGTTTCCGTTGGCTTCTCCTCATTGATTTTTGGCAACTCTGTTTTCTGTTTTTTTCCTCTTCCATTCTCACGCCGATGGCCGCAGCCCGACCTGGAGTACGGGGGTCCTTACGCCTGGGTGAGACGGCGGGATAGGGATAGACGCTGAGGTGTGACCCTAACAGTGCTGTGTGACCGATAGTAACCTGAATAACCTACGCTGTTGCCACTAACCTCATGGCTGTGTTTGACCAGAAAGTCAAGTATGTCTTTGTCCAGACAGACACACATGCCACCCTGCAGACTCCCTCGGGGGCACGATGGGCTGGAGGGCAGGTGTACCCACCAGGGCCCCCTGGGCGTGTCGCTGGTCCTCAGGGCCGGGTTGGTGCCTGAATACACTCACTCACCACGCAGTCTTCGAGCACCAGCTCTTTTCCACACGCTGTGCTCACAGCTGTGGATACCAGTAGGGAGGAGATCAGATCAGGAATCCCGAAAGCCTCTGTGTTTCTTTTCAAAGATCAAGTTCAGAGTCATCCATTGTTTTCTACTCTGTCCATTGAAATGAAATGTGCGATCTGACTCTTTTGCCAAAAAGTGCTGTTTGGGAAAGACCTGTGTTCCAGGAACAAAAACGAAGCCTTTCAACTTAAATTTGGCGTTTCCCTCTTTCATCCGTCTGCGCCCCATGCTTTCCGAAAACCTGTAAATTTCAACGATGAATTAAAAAGGAGAGGGGTTTAATCTCGCCAGAAATTAGCAATAAAGTGATTTTGTACTAAAGTGATTGTAGCAATTTAGACACGGCTTCATTTTTAGGACTTTTTCTAAAGCATTTTGGGCTTCATTCATTCCACTGCATTTCAACGTTATTTGGCAAATCTCTGGTTTTAAAATGTGTTTTTGCCTTTAAGAGGATAATTTAATAATGCCACATGTTTGCGTAGCACGAGTGAGCCCTGAGCCGCCAGGGAGCCTGGAAGCGCGGGGGCACATGATTAGGTTCAGGACGCGCTCTTCGCACAGCGTCCCACAGCAGTTCACAGTGACGCCCGTCCGCATAGCTCTTCCATTCTCTATAATTCATTGCATCAGCAGCAGATTTCTAGATGTTTTGCCTTCTTATTCTAAGGTCAAAGTAAATTAGATGTAAGGGCCAGTCCCTGGGGGAATGAATGGATATACGTGTTCCCAAGAGTCAGAAACACATTTCCGATTTCATTTTTATTTCTGTTTTTGTTCTGTTTTAAAATGCAATTGAGTGCCTCAACTATTGCAGTTCAGAGTTTTGATTTTGCCTTCCTTATTTTACTTCCCATCTCCCATGCCCTTGGACATGATCTGTCTTTTGAGTCGCTATAAAAGTAATCTAACACCACTGATCATAAAAGATAGCTGTTGCTGGGGCGCCTGGGTGGCTTAGTCGGTTAAGCGTCCGACTTTCGCTTAGGTCATGATCTCGCGGTTTGTGGGTTCGAGCCCCGCGTCGGGCTCTGTGCTGACTGCCAGCTCGGAGCCTGGAGCCTGTTTCAGTCTGTGACTCCCTCTCTCTCTGACCCTCCCCTGCTCACGCTGTCTCTCTCTCTCCTAGAAATAAATAAAACATTAAAAAAAATTAAAAAAAAAAAAAAAGATAGCTGTTGCCTTCTGCACGCTCGCGTGTGAGGGGCGCTGACGCTCTGATGGCCCGGCTCGGTCGCTGGTGGCACCGGGACTAATCACAGGTTTCCCCCAGAATAACTGGCCGTGATAGGACGTTTGTTCTTGGATCTTACTTACACTCTTTCAGGAAATGCCGATTGGTGGATGTCTTCTGTGTTTCGTTCTCTCTGATAGCGGTGCTCCTCGGTGTTGCTGTGTGTGACATCCACCTGAGAAGCTTATTAAAACACACACACACACACACACACACACACACACACACCCCGGGCCCCAGCTCTCGGTGCTCTGATGGCCGCCTGGCTCAGGACCCCACAGTCCTAAGATGCTCACCAGGGGACCCTGATGCAGGCAGTCTGCACAGCAAGGAGCACTGAAAAATCGCCCTGTACGGGTTCCTGGGGGCCTCAGTCGGTTAAGCGTCCGACTTCAGCTCAGGTCATGATCTCACAGTTCATTGGTTCAAGTCCCACTTCGGGCTCTGTGCTGACAGCTCAAAGCCTGGAGCCTGTTTTGAGTCTCTGTCTTCCTCTCTCTGCCCCTCCAACACTCACATCCTCTATCTTTCTCTCTCTCAAATATAAAATAAACATTAAAAAAAAAAAAAGAAAGAAAAGAAAAATCACCCTGTAGAGCAAAGAAAGTTAAACATCAGAGACCTGACTTAAGATGAAGCTGATAGGCCGTCTATGGACTTTTTATTCTGATGTGTTAGGTTATTTTTCAACTCCCCTTAGCCTATTATATGCTACATAAACACTTCTCCCCTCACCAACATACAACACATAAAAACTATACAAGAGGAAAAAGTTGGTGGTGTCCTTTAATAGGTCAAAGTACTTTAGAGGCACCTGGGTGGCTCAGTCGGTTATGCATCTGACTTGTGCTCAGGTCATGATCTCACAGTTCACGGGTTCGAGCCCCGCGTCGGGCTCTGTGCTGACAGCTCGGAGCCTGGAGCCTGTTTCAGATTCTCTGTCTCCCTCTCTCTCTGCCCCTCCCTCATACACACTCTCTCTCTCTCTCTCAAAAATAAAGTAAACATTAAAAAAACTTTTCTAAAAAAGAAGTCAAAGTACTTTTCACTGTAGGAGTGTCCATGAGGTCCCGTGGATTGGAGAATTCATCCCAGGAGTACATTCCCCATGGCAGAATTCCGTTGCAACAGAAAGGGCGGGTGTTCACAGAGCCGTTGAAGGGAGAGTGTTTCCTGCATTGCCATGGAAAGTGAAGACAGAAATGGTGACGAGACGGAGTGCATTGCCCTCCCCACCACCCCCTGTCACCACCCCGTGCTCTGTGCTGCAGACTGCACTGGAAAATGAAAAGGCCAGAAGGAAGAGCTTGTGGGGGGAAGTATGTATTTCATAAGCAGCAACGGAAAGTCAGAGGGTTCATATACATAATATATTTTATTTATATATCATAGGAAATATACTTATATTTACTTATATTAATATAAGTAATATAAATAGATATTAATATAAGTACTTACATTAATATTTATACTTATATATACTTGTATTAATGTTTACTTATATATAAGAAATACATTTTCTTATTTATTAGTAAAGGAAAAGGCATAAAAAATTGTTTGATGTTAGTCTTTATTGTTATATTAATTTTTTCCAGGAATGGGTTTCTAAGTGGATATGAAAGGAAGAAGACTTTGGTCTGAAATACCCAAGTCCTTCATACCCATTTCCATATCAGAAAATCTTGTTGGTGGGAAAAGGGATTAGATTAGATTGAGTAAAATTCCTGCCTATCTCCAAAGTTTTTTTACTATCAGGTTTATTTCAGAAATGTTTTAATGTTGTTCATTGAGTTTTCAAGTGTATTTTTTAATGTTTATTTATTTTTGAGAGAGGAGAGCAAATGAGGGAGGGGCAGAGAGAGAGAGGGAGACACAGAATCCGAAGCAGCTCCAGGCTCTGAGCTGTCAGCACAGTCTGGAAGTCCATGTACCCCTTCTTCATTACCGTCTTCGCTGCAGAATACGTGCTAACCAGTCTGCCGTCACCTGAGCCTGTGAACTAGGCTCCGTCATCGTGGGTGCTGGTACCTTCCACAGGCGCTCACTCTGCCATCCTGTAGGCACATGGTTCACACACTTGGGATACTCATTTTAATCTGATCGAGCCCTCACAGCGGCCTCATAAAGTGTGTATTTCTAGGCACATTTTCACAGCCGAGGAAGTAGGGGTAGCAGTGGATTAAACAGCCAGCTTACAGTCACATGATAGAGCATTGATCTGGAATTTGGACTCACCTCCACGACCCCCTGGCATTTCTGTCCAGTTTAAGCAGTTGTGTGGACTTTCTTTTTCCTTTTTTAAAAAAAATTTTTTTAATGTTTGTTTATTTTTGAGAGAGAAAACACGCCAGCAGGGGAGGGGCAGCGAGAGGGGGAGACGGAGAATCCCAGGCAGGCTCTGAGCGGTCAGCACAAAGCCCACTGCAGGGCTCGATCCCACGAACCATGAGATCATGACCTGAGTCGTTCAACCAACTGAACCCCTCGACTCTTTTCCTTTTTCTGTCTCGAGAGCTGGTCACATCTGACATGTGAGAGCTCTTGTCTTAAATCAGCAGAAACATCCTTTTAGAATGAGAGCTGTTCTAGAAAGGCCGGGCTTTGGCTGGGGGAACATGGGTGCAGAGGTGGGAAGAGAAGGGAGGTGGGCACACACTTAATCCTTCTCTTTTCTAGGGGACAAATGAGGAAATCATGAAAAGGATCCTCAGATTTCATTCTGAAAATTAAAGTGGGAAGACAGGATGAATGAAAAGCTAATATAGAGGGGCGCCTGGGGGGCTCAGTCAGTCAAGCGTCCGACTTCAACTCAGGTCACCATCTCCCAGTTCACGGGTTTGAGCCCCTCATCGGGCTCTGCACTGATAGCTCGGAGCCCGGAGCCTGTTTCAGATTCTGTGTCTCCCTCTGTCTCCACCCCCTCCCCACTCACACTCCCATCTGTCTCTCAAAAATAAACACACATTTAAAAAAGGAGAAAACAGGCTAATCAGAGAATCTGCCCTCATGAGAAACATTTTTTCCGTGGTGAACTTCTGCACTAAATTATAGATTGAACAGAAGCTATTTCTGAATCTTCTGAACATAGCTTCGCAGTGGGCTGTAATTTTCAAGGACTTAACCCTGAGAACCAAAAACTGAAAACTAGTTGACGTGGGCCGAGGCAATACCCCTCTTGCCGATGGCGTTCGGGCCGCTGAAGAACTAGGACTTGTGGACAGCACCGTAAAACCAGAAACAGGAAATCCTAGGAAAGCGGCTGTACCTGTGGCCACGTGCCTCACCCCGCAGGAAGGGCTGGGCATTGCCTGCCATCCGAAGGTGACCCGTACTTCCAAGTAACAGTAACTGGGCAGATGGGATTGGCTCCAGGGTCCGCTTCCCCCCGAGTGGTAGCTGGGCAGAGCAGAAGCACGGAAGCATCTAGGGGCACGCTGAGATTTGCATTGTCCTCGTTTCGTTGGTCATTCGCTCCACTAAGAAAGCCCAATTTATACCCAACATCCCTGCTGATGTGCACGTGTGTCTTCCTTTGTATCCTGATGGCCGTTTTCTTCTTTTCTCCGTTGAAACAGACAAATGGTTATGAAGGAGAATTCTATGGATCACAGTCCCTGAATAGAAGATCTGGCAGGGTTAGTATAGTAAATTTGCATGACGCAGAATTCAACCAGGTCGCTGCAGAGCTTTAAAGAAAATTTTGCTAAATTTAGCCTCTGTGTGTGTGTGTGTGTTTTCTGTGTGATAACGGGTCTCTCCCCACCCCCGACCAAGCACTTGAAAGAATGGAAACTAACAGTTTTCAGCTGGTAAACATTCTTAGGATGTTAGTCTTCTAAACATTCTAAGTCCCAGTGTAAGAGATGGATGTTAGAATCTCTTCAGCTTGAAAACTTGTAGGATTAAATTCTCGCTCTTCTGTTATTTTGTTGTCCTGGGTGTACATGCATAATGTGTATATTAGGTATATTCAGCTTTCAAGTATAGGTCCATCCCACATACTCACCCTCTGTGCCCACCTCTCCCTTGTCATGTTAAGGACACGTATGTTCGAGTCTGCGTTCTGTTGAACGGTGGCCGTGGAATGCTCCCAGGGCAGGGGTCAGAGACTGCAGAGGGGCAGGGTCATGAGTGCTCGGTGGTGAGAGAAAGGAAGAGGGGACGGACTGACATCAGGACACAAGTGGGGAGCGCTTTGGGTCTGGCAGGGAGGTCACAGGGGACTTCACGAGGTCGAACTGCATACATTCCAATGAAGTTTCATGACCTGCCCCACACCAGTTGTACACTAAATTATCTAAAATCTTCCTAGTCCTACATTTGCTTTACATTTCTTCTTATAGTTAATTTTACTAGTTGTATAATTAGTAACTATTTCTTCTCATTTATCTCAGTTACATAAGGAAAGATCCTATCTACACTTGAATTCTATCTTCAGGTGCCAGTGGGGTTACCCAGGCCTACTTTAGCTTTCTGAAACTGGCTGATGAGGTTTTTAGCCTCACGTCCTAGTAAGGATTGCATTTGCTTCCATTTCATCGAAACTGTCCTCATTCCAGACCGCAAAAACCCTCCCCATTTAAAGGCTACGTCCTCCTATTTATGTTTTTTACATTGACGGCCTTTGGATTTCCTCCAGTTGTTACGTGTTCCTTTAAGGTAAGGCCGCTGTCTGGGGACAGAAGCAAGCGGCATGCCACTCTGTCCCCTGCGCATTGTTTGGAGCTGGCTTTACAGGACGGGCTGCGGGACTCTCTGCGGCCCCAGACTGCTTGTTGGGTTGTGTTGACTGATGAGCAACCTTTCCTTCTAGAGGCATAGCTTTACCATAATCGATCATAAAGAATGACTGCTTAGAGCTGGCAGTTCCTTGAGAAGTTCCGTCATCCACTCTTTCTACCCAGCATCCCCTTCTTCCCTAGAAGACCCCACACAGTACTAGGTAGCGTCGGTGAGCTCTATGCCTTCCATACGTCCGTATTTCTCAATCTTTGATTTTTCCGTTAAAACAGTAAAAAGGTGCCTTTTGATTTGGTTTGAGATTTAAGTAATGCCTCTAGAGATCAAATGCAAAAGAGCTTGCTTATAAAAGTGTTCACCGCAGAGTAAAATTGGACTTAAAATGGATTTAATAAGCAATGAGGGAACAGACGGATTAAAGCACCACGTAACATACACGCAACGCAGCGAGTCCTGTAGGGAGATCCCAGAGCAGCGTGAGGATGAGCTTGGAGAAAAGACTGGAAGGGAAAGTTCAGAGATGTCAGCAGCACATCTGTGGGGAGGACTAAGATAACCATATCGGCCAGAAGGGTTTGGAGGCACCTCTTTCCTCTGTGAAGGGATCTGAAGTCTCCGTAGGAGAACGACTTTGACCGTTCTGATGAGCGTTTTATGCCTCGTGTGTAACGTGCACACATACCGCCTCCCCATGACCTTTATAAAGTATATGCCGCGTCTCTCTGGAGACGGCTGCAGGTCTGTGGCCACCTCCCTGCAGATTCGGCTGAGCTGCAGCCCTAAGGTATGCTGAGCTAAGGAAATTGAAAATCTTGCAACAGACATCATCTTAGTTACCTAACAAAGTATGTAATTAGGAAAGTCCCCGGTGGGAAGTTACATACAGGTGGCTCATCATGAGATTGAGTGAGTAATTACGAACAATTCTAGAGCTGAAAAATTGCAAAAACCGGTAAGAGTCAAACCACGCGACACTGTGGGGACGGGAACACTGAACTATAAAATACGGCTCAGGACCTCTAGTCGTTAAGGAGTTCTCCTGTAGCAGTCTTTTTTTTTTTTTTAATTTTTTAATGTTTTATTTATTTTTGAGAGAGAGAGAGACAGTGTGAGCAGGGGAGGGTCAGAGAGAGGGAGACACAGAATCCAAAGACAGGCTCCAGGCTCTGAGCTGTCAGCACAGAGCCCGATGAGGGGCTTGAACCCACGAGCTGTGAGATCATGACCTGAGCTGCAGTCGGACACTCAACTGACAGAGCCACCCAGGCGCCCCCAGAGTGTCTTGATTCTTAAGCTACATCAGTATTCCTAGAGCACAGATATGGGTGTGACTATGTATGGGTGATTTTCTATTTGCCTTTTGACGTGGACAGGCAGTGCTCTGGGGGACAGTACGGAAGTGCGCACCACTTACAGTGTCTTCTTTGATTCTCAGAATTCCAGCTACAGTGGCTCTGAGGGCAGATTCTCTACCTTGTCGTCAGCCAGAGAGGAGACGTTGGTTGGTTTTCATTTAAATCTTTCACATCCTGTCTTCAAAAACCACAGGTTTTATAGCATGCAATCTCGTGTGTGAATTCAGCTCTCTTTTCATTTTTCCTGTCTATTTTGCGACTTTTCATTTGGGCGGATGCTAAAGTCAGTCTGGGGGCAGTAATTAACATGATGCATTTCACTCAGGCTTACCCCACTGCCTTGCATTTGAGTCCCTATTTGCATTCAGCCGGGTACAAGGAAAGAAAATATTCATGTGGGTGTTTTGTAGTCAGAAGCAATCAAAATCCAGGGGGGGGTGGGGGCCGGAATAAGAAAACTTTATCGTTCTTTCCTTGAGAGTTCCTGAAAACAGAATTGCTTTGCAGGGTGCATGCGGACTTTGTGGCAGTTTCTGAGGGACCGACTGGACTAGGGACGAAAACCACATCAAATCCAAATTCAAATGTCTGCACAGCAGGGTTCATTCCCACAGTTTAAGGATATGCATCAGTGTCGATGGGCCCAAAGATTTCTAAATTATGCAAGAGTCCTAAGACAGAAGGCTTGTTTGTTTTCGACCAGGTTCATACTCACTTAGCAAACACTAGGGAACTAGTTTAGGTAGGACGATCACAAAGATAAGTGGGTGAGATAGGTCAGTACTAGGGAAGCATTTACTTCTAGAACAGAAGACAGACCCAGCTACCAGATACACTAGTACAGCAGTAAATTGGACGATAGGGAGAAATGGGTGTCGTCACAAAGGATGTGAAGTGAACCTCGAAGAGTCCACGGGAAAAATAAACAAATAGAAACTTAGCCAGTAGAGCCAGCAATACCTGATCCTTCCTGCTCTCCTATCGTGCCTCCTCCCCTGCCTCCTTTCATTCCTGCGCAGGGGACTCCAGACACGGAGCCAGATACCCCCTCAGCTTGCTTGTCCACTTTCCAGACTCCCACTGCTGCCTCTCAGCCCCGTAGATTACTAAGTACTCCATCCCTTCTTCCCCAGTAGGTGAATTTTGACTGAATACAAAATCAGCTGTAATCGCCCAAGTATTGGTGGGTTTCGCCATCTTGGATTTCTTGCGTATTGTGTGTATTTCAGTGGGAGATTTTGCTGTTCCAGAGAGCACCGTGTCATTCAGAAAACTTGACTTCCTCCTCACTTTTTGAGCTGAGACACTTGCTCTGAAGTAGACGATGGTGTTAGATATCTAATATGCAGGTGTGAATTATTCACCGAAGTTCAGCCTGTATCTGACTCACTTAAATTCATTTAAGAGAAACAACCGACACTGGAGTCAAAATTAGAGCCAAACCATTCAAAACATAAACGTCAGAACTTTCCAGAGGCCACATATCCCCACCCTTGTTCTGCCTGAGGTCCTATTTTACTCACTGACCCACAGAATCTTCCTGATAATTACTGTGTTCTGTAGGTATTATATCTATTCCTGCAAAACACATGGGCTTGTTTCATTTTAGTTAAGTCTAAAACAGAAAGATGCTGAGGTACCAGGGAGTGTTGAAGACGCCTCTAAGTACTTCTCCAGTCTTCCAGATTTGTCAGACCCACACCCTAGCATGGCGGCCACAGCCGTGGGCGCTTTCTCCCCCTTGGCACTTTCCACGTCTCACAGAGGAGTTGACAAAATGGCGTGTACACAGAGTGTTCGCTCAACCACTGGAACACCTTTCAATATTTGTGTGAAACATTAGAAAGCTTCTCCCTGTTCCGTCCCTCCCCACCCCCAGGGTTCCACTCTCCTGCCTCTCAGGTCATGTGGATGTAGCTTGTGCAAGACATAGGAATGTTAGGCACAAGTTATGGGACCTTGAAGGGATGGCGAGATATCTTCAGGTGCCATCAGGTTACTTGAAGAAGCCACTTCATCTTCAAGGACTGTCCCATGCTTGGACAATTGGTAGAACACCCCCAAGATGGCAGTCTGAAGCTACTGGCGTCCTCAAGGAGCCTTCCATTTGGATAGAACATTTTATTTGGGGAAACGATTTATATGGTAGCACTCCCCAGAAAGGTACCAACAGTGTAGACTGCTGTAGGTCGCAGAATTAGATCACTGAATCTATGCCGTCTTCTGGACATCCTGAATACACATGCATCGTTAGGTAAATACCTAAGGAAGCAATGCCGGAGAGCATATCCAGCGAAACACCTCATTACATAAAGTAAAGGTTGATATCTCTGCCGTCTTAGTTTTGAATGTTTCCCTCCAAGCTTTAAAACTTAGAGCTCAAATTACAAAGACCTTTAAAACCCCTGTGGTCTTGCTGTCAGTTGAAATTTAATGAAATGTATTTTTCCTTGGTTTGGTCCCGTGTGCTAGTTTTGTCAATTAACTGGACCGTCTTTATTTCCTTCTGATCGGCCTCCTTTCCTTCTGATCAGCCTCCTTTCTCCCTCCTCCGTACGTGCATGCCCTTAACCGATTTTGTCGTGAAAGGTGGTTGTGTGTGGATTTACGAAACCATCGTACCTTCGAGGTGAGACGAAGCTGTGAGCCCTCCTCCCTTCCTGCCCATTTTCTCTGATTACAGGGACTCTCCTGCTCCGACCTCGGGCTTCCCAGCGGTGGTGGTGGTCGTGCTGCCCTGTCTGCCCAGAGCGGAAACCGGGTCTGTGCTCTTACTCGTCACCCGCTTCCTTCCCTCTTTCCTTCTGTGGGGTCACCTCACCCTCTAACCAAATGTACGAAGATGCTTCAACCTCTTCCGTGTGAGGTCCAGAGAGCAGAGTTCAGCAGGTGTTTCATTCGGCTGGACCAACTTGCTAAGACTTTGGTCGATGTTTTAAGACATTATCAAAATCGTCGAGGACCTTATATAGAAAAACAGAGGATTTAGCAAAAAGGAGGCTCTATTAAGTGTACATTTCCAAAAGCCCAGGTCCAAAGAATTGGTCTCTTGGGTCTCTCCTCCTTTTCCAGTAATTGTTCCCCATCTGGGGTTTCATTTGTTTCTTTAAAAATATTTTTCTCTTGTAAATGTGTCCAGGAAGCAATTTGGAAGCCTTTTGTGCCTAATCTGGCTCCTCCATCTTTGCGAAGTGGGAGAACAGCCCTATTTCTTTGGCTCAGCCTCCCCGCTGCTTCCTGTTTTGGTCTCCCCCCCCCGCCCCCCCCCAGGCGGGAGTGCGGGTCAGGCCCTGAGCTGTAAGTACACAGGTCCCGCTCTCTATACGAGGAGCTGGGCGTCAGAGCCCCGCACTCTTCCCGCCGCAGAGGTTGAACCATATCTCCTTGCACTGCCGCCCCCCTGCCTTGCCGAGTGATTCATCCCGGGTCATGCACATTCCCTGACGGCTGGGTGGCCCCGCGCTGCGGGCTCACATGGCCTCTGCCCGTGAATGAGTCATGATCCTGTTCTGGAACTCAGGGTCTGGCCGCGCCAGGAGCTGCCCCTCCACCGGGGCACATGCCCGCACAGGCGCGGCCCAGCCCCGGCCGGGGTGTGGGTGTGGGCTCCCCATTACAGGGACATGCCAGCCCCGGCCGCTGGCGCAGTCTCATGGCTCCTGGTGGATCCTGAGCACCGGATCTGGGATCATCTGCTGGACACGAAAGCCCTGCGTCTGCCGCTCTCTTCCCGGGCGGAAATGGATGTATTAACACCCCGAGTGCTTTATTAACCTGGGGTTTTGTGCTCTGGGGTTTGCTTGCTGCTGGTGGCCTTCTCACCTTGTCACCGTTCTGTCTCACTCCCTGACCCTGTCCTCCAGGAACGCCTGAAAAGAAATGACTAGAACATAGCCCTAGGTCAAAGACCCTGGGGACGTTTGCTAGTTTAAAGTTGGATTTGCGTCTCTCAGATTTACCGAAATCGCCACATCGACTTTTTTTTTCTTCTAACTGTTGGACGGCGTCCGGCTGTCATGATAACCGAAGCGACGTGATTATCTGTCTCTCTTACTCACTGCTGTGTTTCAAGGCTTTTAAAACCTGCCGTTTGCTCTCCTGCAGCTCTCTTACCTGCACAGCGCTGCCCGGCCTGCTGCCAGTTACCCGGTGCGTGTGCTGCCCCCCAGCCCCTGCCCGGCCGCCCCTTCTCTCCCATCCCCCCACCCCCTTCCCCGTCCCTCCTCTGCCGTCCCCGGACCCTCACCTGCCTCCAGCCCCCCTTCCCCCCACAGCCCCCTCCCTACCCCCGCCCCCATCCCCCCCAGTCCCCTGACCCTCACCTGACTCCGCCTCCATCCCCCAACTTGTCCCGGCCCCACTGGCCCCCTCAGCGCAGGCGCACTGGGCCTCATGCCACACCTGCCCTGGGAGCCCGGGTGCTGGTGTCTGCAGCCTCAGTGCCTGAGAATTACCTTTACGAGGAGCCTGTAAGTGCCAGCCGTGCCCGTCAGTCCCCTCTGGGCGGGTCCAGGTGTTCTCTCTCCCCGCAGCTGACAGCAGCCGTCACACCACCTCGGGCCCCAGGAGGCCACGTGCTCGCACAGGATTTTTAGCCAGGAATGGGGCAAAGACCTCATTTACGTACTCTGCGGGCAGAAAGAAGGGTGGCTTTTTATGGCTTTGGTGACCTGAACAGGTGTTAACCCATTGCGCTCGATCACTTTGGAAATTTCCAGTTTTAAATACAAGATACACCTTGCAGGAAATCTACACTAAGCAAAGCAGTTACACTGTACTTGGTAATAAGTTTCCGAATTTCCGTCCAGATTCACCCCTAAGGGGAAACAGCAGAAATCCCAGCTCCCTTCAGCCGGGCAGGGTTTGGTGTGGCCTCGCGCGGCACCGTAAACCCCTCTTCGCCATCAGCGCTGAATTACGTGTGATTTCCAGGTTAATCAAGGATTGTTTTCTAGTTAGCAGTTTTTAAAGAATCACAAAATATTGAACTATCGTTTTCATACTGCTGTATCCTGAAGTCATTTCATACTAGCCTAAGTTCCTAAACATCAAGCGTGAGAGTCCCATGACAAAATTCAGGATACGCGAATTACCTGCTCACTTAAATGTGGATTAACAGGTTTTTACTTGGCAAGGAACGTTTCTCAGAATGACGCATTTCAAGGAGCTACTGCGGATTGCATTGCATGCCAGTTAACGGCAACGGGTTTCTCTCTTAGACTTTTGCATGGCCCTGTCCCGCGCAGCCCTCGCCGCTGTAGGTGATGTAAGGCTTTCCCTGCTTGTCTTCCATCGTGATTTGTTCAGAACTTGTTCTTCTCACGGGTCAGTCTTCCTTAGCTCACCTTGTCCTGTGTTTTGGGCACCAGTGGAGGGGGAGGGGCTCCCTGACCTGACAGTCTGTTTTTGTCGCAGGCATCTGTGTTCGATGACAGCAGCCCTGGCCGGGCACGGCGGAGCAGTGCCTGCGGTTCCTATGCTGTAAGGCATTTTCTGTGGTTCCGGAATTTTCTCCCGTGTGCTGCATGCCCCTGAGTGGCTCCCTGGGCACTGTCCCAACCCCTGGAGATAACTAACCGGAGTTACAGAGAGGAAGCACTTGTCTCCTCTCAATTTTCCGCTGTAGTAAGGGTGGGTCGTGGGTGATGTGAACCGTGAAGCCTTTGGTTGGCGGGTTAGTGTCCTCGCACATCAGTTTACATCGAGTTCAAGGGAGGAGACCCACCTTAATTGAGTTGCGTTGGCTCTTTTCCTGTAACACGCTGACAGTACTAAGAAGGAGTGAGGTGCTCCTAAAATAATAAAAGGAGGAAGAGGGCAGTTCCACAAGCAAATTATTTTCACCTCTGGATACTTGAGGAAGACGAACAGATTTAAAGGCTCAGGAGGTTCCACGTACATAATTTCCTTTTGCTGTCTTTCCACCTCTTCAAAGGATTTGAAATGACAGAGTTGGCTCTCACATAAGGATGTAGAAGTCAGTTGTACAAGAGATACTTGTTGAATGAAAAAAAAAAATGAGTGAATGAATGAAAGAGGGAAGCAAAGTAGAAAAACAGAGGCAGTCCGCGGAATCGGGGAAACCAGTTGGCCCGTCCTGAGGGGCAGCAGAAACTGAAGGAAACTGAGCGGGAACTGAATCTGTGGATGCCACGGTCCCCCCGGGTCCTGTGAAAGTGCACCCAGGCCCCACGTGTAATGGCTTGCTAACCACTACTTGAAAGTGCTTTTATAATGTTGCTTTTGGCGTTGGTTGGTTACTTAAGTGGCTAAATAATCCAATCTATGGTTTATTATATTTCATGAATATTCAGGAATTCTTGCAAAGCCAGTCAAACCTACAGGTTTATTTAGAATGTAATTCTTATGAATATCAAAATCCAATAATTAATTGACATAGCATTAGTTTTTGTTAACATGTAATTAACCATTTGTTAATTTTGTATTGCGTAACATTTTATTCTTTTTTAATTTATTTGTTTTGAGAGAGAGAGATGGGAGAGAGTGAGCAAGCAGAACGGGAGAAGGGTGGAGGGGGGGAGAGAGAGAGAGAGAGAGAGAGAGAGAATGGGAACCCCAAGCAGGCTCCACACTGTCAGCACAGAGCCTGATGTAGGGCTTGAACTCACAAACCATGAGATCACTACCCAAGCTGAAATCAAGAGTCAGATGTTCAACTGACTGAGCCCCCCAGGTACCCCTATTGCATAACATTTTAAAGGGGTGGAGCCCACTATATTAAATCATTTTCTCAGTTCTTAAACATTTTTGTAGGCCATTAAGAAGCTCACAGATCATGCCTAATGGATGCGATAGCTCTGGCCTGCAGATGACGGATAAAATGCAGCTAAATGATTTCCTTCTATCAGAAAAGAGACAGCATACTCATTCCTCAAGAGAATGAGACTTTTCCCAAGCACTGGGTAGCTGTCCCCTGACTGAAGTAGAACTCTCGATCGGGCGGGATGCGTGTCCCATAGACTCTGCCTCCATTCGGCTTCTGCAGGTGGACGTTCAGACCAGCTGCCCCTAAGAAGTGAAAGGTCTTCTTGTCCCGACAGCAGAAACGTCTGAAATAACAGCCACATGTCCAGAAGTCAAAGAGAATAAAAACAAAGTCTTTCTGCACTTAGCACTGCACTCCCACGCAGAAAGAGCCCAGCACGCATTTGGTGAATTAAATTGGACAAAAATTGAACCCTGGGGTTAAAAATCCCTCACGAGAGAACTTTGGCAGCAAAGTAGCCAAAGGCTGGGTGGGAGGGAGGTTTGCTGGGCTCCGTCCTCTCTGCAGCTCCCTGAGCCCCGCCGCTGCCCTCCCCTCGGGGTGGAAACAGGTTTCCCACATTCAGGACTGTGGCTGGGGAGGGAGCTTCCTCAGGCTCCGGTCCAGCTTGCACTTGTGGTCACTGGCAAATATGCCCACATTGTGAGAGGCTGCAGCTCAGGGGTCCCATCCCGCCCTGCAGGGCAGGATGGAGCTGGGGAGGAGCCTGTGCTTCGACCCGAGTCCAGGCTGACCCCTCCCCTGCACAGGGTGGTCCTGATCCCGCTCCGGAGCACGCACCCCCACCTCCAGAGCGTCCAGCTTCCGTCCAGCTTCCCCAGGAAGGTAGCCCCACTGCAGTACATGTTCACAATTAAGTGACTTAATTCCAGTTTAACCATTAAATGACTGGCTCTCTTTTAAGTATCACTGTTTTGCTTGAAAACCTTTCTATTTTATACCTTCCTCACCATTATTAAGCTGCGTGTGTGTGGTGTAGGAAGGACTCATGGCCGGAGTTATTCTGACACGCTGGGGGGCAGTCATCACCGCCGGTGCCCTCTGAGCCAGGAGCGTGCGAGTTGCTCGCAGCAGAAAGTGAAATCGGGGAAGAGACCGACCTGCACAATCCTCGGCACCTCCGTGTGGCCAGTGTCCTTACGATTCCACGTCCCGGTCACAGGCCGACTAGCTTTTCCAGGGTCCCACGGCCAGTAAGAGATGGAGCCTGGCAGGACCTTTATAATTTACATCAGCCACGCTGGCTCCCAGACGCCAGCCACTCCCACGGGGGCACGTGGACCAGGGCGATACAGACCTGAAACTGACTCTGCCCTGCAAGACCAGGTCCGTCGACAGGAGAGCAGGTTTGGACTGGGCGTTGGGAGAACCAGCGGAGAGCCCTGTCCGCAGCAGCCTGTTGTATCTCTGCCTGGTGAGCCAGGACGCGAAGGACATAGAACGCAGTGGGACTCGTCTCTGGGACGGGTTTCCTCTGTCTCGTGTCTGTGAACCCAAAGGCAAAATTTTTCTGCCTTAAAGCACTGACCTTACATGTTTCCTTTTATGCTGAATAATAAAGCAAAAGGTGAGACTAGCAATCATGGTAAGTTTCCCGTGAATGTCAAATGCGGTAGTGATTCTTGCATATGGTGTAGGTATGGCTGTATTTTCTGTGCACCTGACACAATGTCCTGCATGTAAGTGTGAGTATACAATAAATATTAATTGGATAAAGAAAGGGGAAGGATGATGAGTAGGTAGGGTGGGTCTGGCTGCTTACAGCCTGAAGTTGATTTTGTTCATTCAACAAGTATTTCCTGAGTGTACACTGTGCCTGGCCTCATCCGGTCCCTGCGGGGACTCAGCAAGGAACAAAGACCCTGCCTTCAGGGGATTACGTTCTGGTGGAAAGATGTGCAAGCTGCAAGGTGGTGCTTAAGATGAGAATCGCGAGACCTCTGAGGTCCCGTGCCTGCTAGGATGTGCAATAGAGGCCAGGGCTGCAGGTCCCGGTGGGGCCGTGTGGGCTGGGCCGACGACAGGCAGCTCCGGGCATGCACGGCGTCCGGGGGGCTGGGTGGAGGGGCCCACCGCCGGGCTGTGCGGCCTCTGGGACGACGCCCCTCAGGCCACGCCACAGTCCGCTGGATGCCTGGTCCTCTGTCGTGTGCGTGTTCGAATCCCGCCTCCCCTCCCCGTCTCCCCACCCCCCTCGCTCAAGAGGAAAGTAAGACTTGAAAAAACAAAAACACAGGACGCGTATGTAGGACTGGAACAAATGTGAATACAAATCAAAGTTAAGAGGGGGAAGCTTCTAGATCTGTTAGTTGCGGTGTTTTCCTTTACCCGAAGAGAGAAAGTGCAGGCAGACAGATGGACTGACCCCTCCATTCAGGCAACCAGACCAGGCAATCTGGCATCTGAAGAAGCCATACCCGATTCGGTATCAACCCTAAATCTTAACTTTGTTTTCACTTGGGAAGAGACAGAAGGCAAACTTCTGCTGCTAAAAAAAAAAAAAAAAAAAAAAAAAAAAAAAAAAAATGCCAAGCACCCTGCCCCGCTCTCTACTTTCCGTCTGGAGCGGAAGGACGGACGGACTAATGTTCTCACACGGTCCTGTCCACACGGACGAGGTGGCTTTCGGTGCGTAAAGCAGGCGCGACTCCACCCCCGACCTGAACGGACGCTTTGTGTGACTTTCTTCTCCATGCCCAGGAATTCTGTGTCCATTTGATATTATGACTAATTTTATCTTCTGTCCCTCTCGGGCATTTATTTGAAGCTTGGAGATGCAGCCTTCCTTCCCGCGGGGAGCCTGCTGTCCGTGCTCACCCCTGTCTTTTCCGCTCTGCACGTGGCTGACCTCTACTAACGGGGGGCGCTGGTGGGGGTCTCCGCTGTCGCTATGCCTCTGCTGACCCTGTCCCTTTGTTTCTGTCCTGCGTCCCGGCGGCGGGCTGTGCGGGCAGCCTTCGGAGCGCGGCGGCCAGCTCAACTCCAGCTCCCGAGCCTCCTCCAGAGCCAGCTCGGCGCGGGCCAGCCCAGTGGTGAGTGTGCGCCCCGCGCCGTCCCTTCCTCCTCCGCCCCTCCGCTCTCTGCCTCTCTGTTCTGCAGAGGAGCCCTCCACCCCCAGAAAACCTAAACCTGGCGTAAAGTAGGAGGGCTCTCCCCGGGTTTATTTCAGGTCTAAGCAAAAACATAGTTGGGGAAAATGCTCCCAAATTTAGAATATAGTTATATGATATCAGCATCGCGTTGCCACATGGCTCGAGTTAGCGGCTGCCAAGGAGCTAACGGTGCCCGGCGCTGGGGGTCCTCCAGGGAAGGAGGGAAGCTTTGCCCAGTGGGGGAAATGCAGCCAGGTGCACCGAGGTATTGTGGCTTTATGAGTGAAAAGATGGAAGGATTGGCTTTCAACATTTTGTTTGTAATGTCGTCTGTTCGTGGACCCAGACGGTCTTTTAAAATCAAGTAGCTCCTCGAAGGGTCATGGTGTTCCTATTTCTGCCCAGTGCCCCACCCCCTCATTGACTCTCCAGTGTTCAGTATCGAAACACTGCGGGGCCACCTGGGGGGCTCAGTCGGTTGAGCGTCTGACTTTGGCTCAGGTCATGATCTTGCAGGTCGCAAGCTCAAGCCCCGCGTCAGGCTCTGTGCTGACAGCTCTGCACTAACAGAGAATTCTGCGTCTCCCTCTCTCTCTGCCCTTCGCCAGCTCACACTCTGTCTCTCTCTCCCTCTCTCAAAAAATAAATAAACATTTTTTAAAATGCTTAAAAAGAAAAAAAAAAACTACAGAGCTGCCCTCCTGTTCCTCACTGACTGGTCCCCACCCTCTCAGTGCCCTTGTTACGTATTTTTCCCAGGGTCTTTACAAATTCAGACACTTTGTACGAGGCCACCATGCATTCTGTTTAGAGTAAGCCTGAGCGGGACAGTTGCCCAGAGGCCACCTGGCACCTGGGCAGGCAGTGTCTGGTGGCCGGAGCTGGGCCTGGATGGCACGCGTGCCCGCCCCGCACGGCCAAGGATCGCCACATCAAAGGACAGTGGCGCCCCCCATGATAAACCGTGGCTGCAAGAAAGCAAAACAGGCAAAGCGGATCCCTTGCTCTGCTCCCATTTAGGGAGAAGCTTCAGTGTGGTTCTTACACAACACCATGATCAGGCGGGTTGATGCCTAAAATTTAGGAAGTGCTTGTGCTAATGCAGAAGAGGCCATGGAGCCGGAGTCTCCCGCTTGCACAGATGTGCCCGTTGGGCGCTGCTCTGTTTGTTTCTTAAATGAGATACAGCCTTTTAGAGCCTTGAAGTTTCATACAGATACATAGAGATCTCCGCTTCTTCTGGGGAAGCAGGTAAAACCATCCCTGCTGCTGAGCGCGTGGTGGAGTCTGCGCTCCGCTGTCCCTGACCCCAAGGCCAAGGCCAGAGCCGTTCATCCCGCACAGGCGTTTTCCCGGTGGCAGAGAAGGGCTCCTCTCCACCAGGTCCACATCTAACAGGAGGAAACGAGACAGACCGAGGGGACGAGGGTTCTAGCAGGAGGGCCTGCTGCCTTGTGGAAGTGAAGACACCCCGCTCCGTGTAAACACAGGCCCCCGTACCTCCTCTGCACACGCTTCAGGCGTCCGCCAAACACCCTCACAGCCCCGTGAGCACCCCCACGCTGGAGACCGGGCCTGAGGACAGGAGAAGCCGCGGCCGGAAGGACTGTGCAGGAGCGCCAGGAGGGGGCGGGGCCCGGGTGCTGGGACAGGAAGGTCGCGTTCAAGATCATGTAGCTTCCGTCTTTGAAATCAGGCAAGTTGCTTTTCGTGGAAAGTCCATAAGTGCCCGGTGAGCACTTCCTGCGAACTAGACCCCTGCTCACCGAGGTCACAGTGTGCCGCCCTCACATCCACTCTCCGTGGGGTCCGTCATGGCCTGTGGCAGCGCAGCATATACAGGCTTGGCCACGTGCAGCCTTCGAACCTTGGGAATAAACGTGTCCACGAGAAACAGCGGAGAGTCGCACATACCCTCTTACGCTCGCTCATCTTTTGGAAACTAACACTAGTATTTGCAGTTGGCAGAAGGTGGCCGTGGCCTGGCTCGTGAAGGGTCCCTGGCTCCCTCCTCACGCCCCTGGGTGGCCTCTGGGATGTGTGGGGCTGTAAATTCCACGATTATTTGACTTCTTGTGCATCGTGATGAAGTCATAGAATAACGGGGCTCTGTCTAGTCCCTTCCACTGAGGAGACTGGGACCCGACACAGATTTCTGTGCCATAGCCTTCCTACGTTTGTGAAAAAGTTACCCACGTGGAACGGGCTTAGTGGGTCACCGTGACCAGAGAGACGGGCACTGAACGTGCCCCTGGGACCTGGTGACCAGCGATGGATGGCCTCCCTGTACCCCAGCTGCGCCCAGACTCGGAGCCCCGCCTTCGGGAGCCTCTCCAGGCGCCATCGAGGAAGCGAGGCTGCAAGGGCCCCTCTGACCCTCAGGCTCCCTCGTTTTCATTCTCTGTGCTGACGCCAGGGAGACGGGACTGTGCTGCCCTGGGGCTTCCCCGAGCTCCGAAGGCCAGGCGGGCAGAAGAGCTCACAGTGTGGGAGACCGAGCTCACTTCCCAGTTCATTACAGACACGCAAGCCACCTTTTCCCTTCGCTGAGTGAAGCGCTCATTCGCAAAGCTCAGCAGGCCGTCGCACCTGCTGGCACGTCCAACGAGCGAAGGTCGGCGTCTCGCAGACTGTGGGCCGGGCCACTCTGCCGCTCCGTCCGGGCGTGGAAGGAACCAGGGGCCGGCCCCTTTCTTCCCCTGCGGTTCCAGGCCATGGCCCCTGGGGAATGATCCGTGGCCTGGTGACTCATCAGGAATGTGGAGCCAGGGGAGTGTGAGGGAGGACAGGGGACAGGAGTCTCTCTGGGAAGCAGATAGGACGGGGAGTGGGGGAAGGGACAGTTCTAGAAGGCTGGGTGTGGAAGAAAGGCTGGTGCCCCAGGGGATGGGGGAGGGGGCACTCTTAAAGAGCAAAAGTGACCAGAATGGAGGAAGTGATCACTTGTCCCCTTTTAAGAAAACAAAGGTGCCTCAGAATCCAAAGACCTCCCGCACCTCTCGGTGCTCTCGGCAGAGAGGATGTCCGCCCCATCTCGGGACATCTGTATTTGACCTTAGTCTCATGTGCCCCATTCTGTAGATAAGCTGTATGTTCTCCAGCAAGTCTGGGGTCTTTCCCTCGAGGAAACTGTGTTGATTGAGTACCTAGAATGTTCCAGGCACAGGGCTACAGTGGTGAGCAGACACACCTATTCCAGCCCTCACGGATGTGTAGACTGGAGGAGACAGGCGGGCAGCGAACGGCACACATACAACGTAAAACTCCCGGGGGCAGTGTCAGGGCCCTTTTAGAGTTGGAGGCAGGAGCCTGGAGAGCCCTGGCCCGGGGCGCACGCAGACAGCGGGCCTCACCCGGCGGAGCCCACACGTCTGTGCCGTCGGGGCCCCCGATTCCTGCCAGGAGCCCAGGGAAGCTGCCCGGGTCCTGAAGCACCCATCAGAAACATCCTGAGTGGAGCCCCGATTCACGTCCCCTCCCCGCCCCCCCCCGGCCCCCGTGTGTGTAGAAAAAACATGAGTGAGGAGCTTCCTGCTGGTTTGAGCCAGAGAAACAAAAGGCTGTAATGACTCATGTTTTGTGTTGTATGAAGAGGCAGGGGTGGGGCCCAGGTGGAAAAACAGGTCATGCGTTATGAATACAGGAGTTCAAGGGTAAGTCATTCAGGAGAACATCGTTATTTCCAGGCTGATGGAAGCAAACATTTCCAGGCTGATGGAAGACTTCACTGCTATTTGAAGGAAAATTGCCCTGAAAATGGGTGTTTTCTGAGCAGGGCTCACGTCTGTCAAGAGGGACCATGTGCTGACATTGCTTCTGTGGTCATATTTCCCATCTGGGGTCTGGGGTTGCCCGGCTGGGGTCTGGGGACACCACGGGGAAAGTTCCACTGCGCCTGGCCGCTCTGATAAGGCCCGTCCGTGCCCTCACGATGTGTTCCGTCCCCAGGAAGCGGGGCAGGCCAGGTGGTGACAGGGAAGGCCTGGAACTTTAAACCTCAGCAGACATTACATTTAAGCGAGCCTTACCCACCTGCTCGTAAGGCCACGGTGCCGGAAGGCGGGACCTAATAAAATATTTAACATGCTACTTTGAGCCCTTGTTTGTGAAAGGAAGGGTTGCCATGATTTAAAATTCAACAGAGGGGCGCCTGGGGGGCTCAGTCGGTTAAGCGTCCGACTTCGGCTCAGGTCATGATCTCACTGTTCGTGGGTTCGAGTCCTGCGTCGGGCTCTGTGCTGACACCTCAGAGCCTGGAGCCTGTTTCAGATTCTGTGTCTCCCTCTCTCTGACCCTCCCCTGCTCATGCTCTCTCTTTCAGAAATAAATAAAACATGTAAAAAATTTTTAATTCAACGGAAATTTATTAGAAGTGACTCTTCCTAGTAGATTTTAGAAAAGGTCTTCGTGTACACTCGGCTGTGATTATAAAATGCTGGCAGGCACGTTTCCTCAATCTGTTTCTGCGAACATTTCACGCCGACCTGGGATGTTTAGAATCGCTCGGGACAGGGGAGCAGCCAAGTGCTGGCCTCCCGGACACACAGCGCCGCTGCCCTGGTCCAGGGAGGCCTCGAGCTGGTGTGGGCCCCCGTGTCCTGCAGCAGCTGGGGTGGTGTTCACAGCGTTTCTCACTTCCGTCTCTTTATATCTTATTTCCAGAGGTAAAGTGCGGTGCTTTATGTTGAAATCAAACACACGGCCTGGGTGACTTATCTGTCCCTTTGTTTAGGGGAAGGTGAGGTTTGCCGGATGGAGGGAGGGCGGGCAGGCTCTGAGGGTCTGGGGCCCCGCCCCACTCAGCTCCATACAGCCTGCCATCTAGTGGCAGCCGCGGGGACTGGGGTGGCGCTTTCCGGGGGTCCTGGTACCTCTCTTTCAGGAAGGCAGGCAAACACCGTCTCCTTTGTCGTTCAGAAACAGACAAAGTGGCACCTGCCCTGACATCTACACGGGGTTGGACACAACAATTAAGCGGAAACTGGCTTGATTTTTTCCTTGCTTGGTCTCTACTTCCGACACATCCTAAATTTCCACGTTCTGAGTTCATTATGTATTCCGAGCAGAGGCTTTTTTAAAACTATTTTTAAACTGAAGAGCTAGCTGTGGTTCTAGGGGTTTTTTCTCTTATTTGATGTTTTGCAAATTACAAAATTACAAAAATAATTTTTGTGTGAATGGTATCCAGAACGAAACTGTGTGAAGGACCCCAGAAAACCAGTGGGTTTTGGTCTGGTATATATTCTTCCTTCTCTTTATCACAGGAAATACTAAACACTGCAGGGTCCGTCTTTTACGGGCACAGGTATAGGTGAACAGAGGATTTCTGGTGTTTCGTGTATACATAGGATATTTATCTGTTGCTGGTGAGTGGCCGGAAAAGATTCTATATAAACTGCAGAGAAAAAAAAGCAGCAGACTTCAGCGGTACCTCGACAGTCTGTTAAACTGGGCTTCACATTCAACCAATAGTTAAATTACCCTCCTTACTTTCATTAATATTTGTTCTGCAAACTAACTGATTCTAGGGAATGAAGGCGTCCGGTCCAGCGGGACTTAATCAGTCGATCGCCCTAAAAACCAGCTGCTATAGAGTCAGCTTTTCTTTAGTGATTTGAAGTTGTCAGGAAGACTTTTATAGAACCGCACTTGAAATGCTCACTCATCATAACTCAGAACATCAGCCCAGGGCTCCGTGGGGCTTTCTGCCAGGGAGGGGGAGGGAGAAGCATCCTGATCGAAGACCACCCGGGACCCCTGAAAACGTGATAATTCTAGGCGTCCATTTGTACACATACCAAACACGCATACCAGCGAACGGCAGCTGGTGTGGCACACGGCGGGAGAGTGTGTGCCCGGCCACATCAAGGAGAAGGGTCCTTGGGGGCGGAGATCGCCTGGAAGGTTCCCGTGAGACACACAGGCTCACACTGGCCCTTGGGGCACAGCCGGCTGCAGCCAAGTGGAAAGGAGAGTCCCAGGGGGAGGCCTGGCATCCGAAGGCCCCCACCCCCACCCAAGAGGCTTATTTAACAGATGGGGAGTGAGGCCAGTCTGCTCTTGGATCCATCCCACTGGCCTGAGGATGTGGCCTCTTTGCTCTTGTTTCCTCTCCTCCTCTCAAGATAGCAAGGAGACCAGCAAGATGAAAATAGAACGTTCTTGCTGAGGACCCAAGGGTGAGCCTGGTGGGGGAGACCAGATGTGGTCGAACTTGGGTCTGTTGAGCAGGAGACCCTTGAGCTTGGCTGAGCTGAGAGCGGGTTTCAGAAACTTCCCTCTTTCGGATCGACGGAGTATTCTGTAGGATTCCGTTGCAGCCTCTTGGTATTCTGGCTCCCTCTTATATTTGCTGCGTTATTTTACTGTCTGCTTTAGGTGTTCTGCCCTCAAAGGGAAAGGGGAAGGTGTGAGGGTCTGGAGGAGAGAAGGTGGCCGTTAGTGAGCCTTGCGGGCGGGGGACGGGATGGTGAGGCCTTGGGCCTCCAGCCCCCAGGGTGGGCACAAGGCAGGGATCCATCGTCTTTACAAGAGTTCACGGCCTTTATGAAGGCGCCCCCACCAGGGCTTCGCCACCGCGCCCTTGCGCTCCCTCGTGCACGGCTGCTCGGCGGGCTGTTCACACCCAGCTCCGTTGGGCTTCCCCCTCGGGGGGTCTGTGGTGTGAGCCTGCAGGGGCACCTGCCGAACCCCTGGTCACCCGTCCAGCCTGAGTCAGAGCCGCGGTCTGTGCTCACACGTGCGCCTGCAGTTGGCTCCCTGGAGGTCAAATTTAGGAACATCTGAGCTACAGGAAGGAGGATTGGAGACGTGAGAGGAGAGGCACCATCTCTTGTCAGCTTCCGAAGCCCCGAGGTTTGGGGCCCCAGGTTTTCTCGCTGCTGTGACCTTACAGTGGGCTTACGGCAAGCTCTCACCGCGCGGGAAACTGAACAAGCCGCCCGTTGCTGGACGCCCAGCAAAGAAAGGAGTGGCAGCAGGGCCAGCCTCCGCCTGCTCACCCTGAGACGCACTCAAGGTGCAGGGTCTCCCTTGGGGGTGATGCCCCGGGTGCCACTGAGACTCCTGCCCCAGGAAGGGGCAGAGCGGCCGCAGAGGCACGTGCAAACAGGAGGCACGTAAAAGCCAAATTTGAGGGGGGGTGTCGTCACTTTTCACCTGGCAGATTCTCCTGTACCCTCACCCCCACCCCCGCCAGCTCCCCACGTCTGGGCATCAGTCCAAGACGGATAAACCAGTTTTCACGTGGCCTCTGTAACTCATGAGAAGTAGGAAAGCTTCCGACCGGCTCCTGCTTCATCTCGCTTCAGAGACCCAGGGTGCGGGAGGCAAAATGAAGACAGTTTGGTCGCGTCTCCCAGCCCCAGGGGCTCCTGGTCCTGCTCTCCCGCTGTAACCATAGTAACGGGGGGGGCGGTGAACAAGCTGGGTGCTCGTCATCCCCTCCCACGTCGGGGACCAGCGCACACGACTGTGGAGTCTGTGAAGCTTAACGGATCCCTGACGACCAGGCTTTCTGCGGTCAACGTGTGTGTCATTTAGCGTCGTGCCTCCCGCCCCCCGGAAATGAGGATTGTCGAAACCCCACTCGGTGAAGTTCACGCTGGCCCACCGAGCTGTCCGCGAGCCACCGCTGTGCCCGCACCCCTCTCCCGGGGTCTCCTTGGCAAAGTGGTTTTTAAACCACAAAGGAAGCTAATGTTTTATGGTTACAGCCATGCCCTCTAAATCCCTATTATCCGCTCAATGATCGTACATATTTAGTGTTTGTCCATTTCCCTCCACAGGTGGAAGAGAGACCGGAAAAGGATTTCACCGAGAAGGTAAGGAATTTCCCTAAGCTTTTATGTTGTGTCATTGCCGAACCATGAAGGGGCCCAACGCGCGCGCATGAAATTAACAAGAAAGTGTGTCGGTTCATCATTAATAAGGATTGTGTGTGGCCCACCGGCCGCATCACGGCCGCGAGGGGTCCCGGGGTCACCTGCAGCGTGTGTGTTAAACCCCACAGAGCAGCAAAGGAGTCCTACGTGGGCCTGACCGTGAGCACAGGGTTAATCCAGACAAATTCCCCAGCGTCCGTGGGTGCCCCTCAAAGAGAACCTTTCTTTACTGCTTTCCGTGAGCCACTGGCAGTTTTCCGATTGAAAACTGAATTCAAGTAAAGGCACCAGAGTGGTAGACCCGCAAGTAAGTTTGGTTCGTCCGAAATCACATTCTGTCCTTGCGCTCTTGCAGGGGTCTCGTGGCCTGCCCGGCCTGTCCGCCGCCACGCTGGCTTCCCTGGGCGGGACTTCGTCGCGGAGGGGAAGTGGGGACACCTCCATCTCCATGGACACCGAGGCATCCATTAGGGAGATCAAGGTGAGGCTGCCTGCGTACTCACGACCTAGAGGAACCTGTGACGAAAATCGGTCTTCAAGTATAAATTCATGAAGTTCTGGATCTTTCTTCTTGGTCCCATCTCCCCTGCCTGCTGTAAACACGTGTCCTAGGCACCGGCAGGAAGCCAGCAGGGCAGACAGGTGCCCTCTGCGCTCCCTTAGCTCCCCGGACATGCCCCCGCCTCCCCCCCCGCCCCGCACCACACCGCGGTGCTTGGCCCCTTCCGTGTGCACACACACGTAGACAGTTGGTGTCCGTTTTTGGGAGCGTGTTGGACACCCGATCACTCACTGCTCCCAACAACACCACTTTCCCCTTTCAGGGTCCCCCAACCTCCGCCTAGAACGCGCCCTCTTTTCTATTGGGAACATGCATCATATGCTTTTATCAGATCTCGTCCTGCTGCCTTGGTAATCTTTTTTTCTTCTGCTGCTGGAACATAAATAGTTTCCTCTGCTGCATCCTTGCCACTCAGTGCGAGGCCACTGTGAGTGTGTGAGACAAAGGCGGTGCTGTTTGTTAAAGTAACCAGGAAGCCCAAGGTACTGGCACCCCTGTTCTCTGGAGAGCAGAGCCAAGGCCAGAGGGGGAGCGTAAAGGGTCGGAATTGGCTTCGCCGATGGAAGAACTTTCTAATAATTAAAACTGGTTTCGGGGGCGCCTGGGAGGCTCAGTCATTTAAGCGTCCAGCTCTTGACTTCAGCTCAGGCCATGATCTCACAGTTCATGGGTTCGAGCCCCACTTCAGGCTCTATACTGACAGGTTGGAGCCTGCTTGGGATTCTCTGTCTCTCCCTCTCTCTCTGCCCCTCCCTCGCTCATGTGCTCAGGCTCTCTCTCAAACTACATTAACTTAAAAAAAAAACTGGTTAAAAGGTGAACCAGCTGCCAGTGGTGTCTTTACAGCTGGATAACCATTTGCCAGGGAGCTCAGAGAAGGGATGCGGCCTCAGGCAGGGTTTGATCTAGGTTCCCTGAAGGTGCCTTCAGAATCCTGTGGTTTGTGAGAACAGTTTTTTGACTGTCTTCCTAAGATGTCCACGCACTCTCCCCTGGCCTCCAGCATCTCCTCCCTCGTTTCCTTGGCTACGTCCAAGGAGAGTTTGCTGCAACCATAATTAGTCTCTGCTCTCCGTCCAGAGGGTACCATTCATTCGCTCAGCGAGCATGTGTTGAGGGTCTGGTTCATACCAGACACCAGGTGCCAGGAAGGCGGTGGTGAATGAGGCCAGCCGGGCAGAGACTCGGATCTTCGTAAACGCAGGGACTGAGCTTGGCTGTGCCCCAGCTGTAGTATTTTACTGGATCCAGCACGAGCTAGGACCCTGGAAAGCTTGAATGAGCTGTTAAACATCAGTACAATAAGTTGTTCCATTTTCAGAAGCTCTTTTGCCTGTTTTATAAAATTGTGCAAAAATAGGGGTGCCTGGGTGGCTTAGTCAGTTGAGCATCTGACTCTAGATTTCAGCTGAGGCCATGATCTCACAGTTCATGAGCTCGAGCCCTACACCGGGCTCTGCACTGACGGCACAGAGTCTGCTTGGGATTCTCTCTCTCTCTCTCTCTCTCTCTCTCTCTCTCTGTCTCTCTCTCTGCCCCTCCCCTGCTTGTGCATGCTCTCTCTCAAAATGAATAAATTAACTTTAAAAAATAAAGGAGTAAACATAAAAAAATATGGTCACATAGACCTAAATTTTATAAAATTTGGTAACAATCTCATATGAGATACACCTCAATTTTAATATTGGTAGTTTTGAAATTTATTTTATTTTTCTTTGAGCACTTTTCTAAAAGGAAAAAAAAGGAAAATCACTTGCTTGGACTCCCTGAATGAGGGAAACTCCCCAGAAGTAGAAAAGATTTAGAGAACCACTTCTCTTTTTTCCTAAATTTTTTTAATGTTCATTTATTTTTGAGAGAGAGAGAGAGAGACAGAGCACGTGCACAAGCGGGGGAGGGGCAGAGAGAGAGGGAGACACAGAACCTGAAGCAGCTCCAGGCTCCGAGCTGTCAGCACGGAGCCCGACGCGGGGCCCGTGAGATCACGACCTGAGCCGAAGTCGGACGCTTCACCGACTGAGCCCCCAGGCGCCCCGAGAACCACTTCTCTTTCTTTATGGCCGTGCCTCCTTTTCCCCTTCGTATCATTTGCCTCTTTTGCGGATTCCTAGGAACTGAATGAGTTGAAGGACCAGATTCAGGACGTAGAAGGCAAATACATGCAAGGGTTGAAAGAGATGAAGGTACCAGCTCGGAAGTGTGGGTTTACGGTATTAACCAACTTAACCTTCGGGAATCCTAAAGACCTTCAGACTGCATGCGCACTCCCAGGAGCCTCCAGACCAGAGTCCAAAGTGGCAGGGACGCGGCGTGGGCCGGCACCACGGGCCTTTTGAGCGTTCTCCCAAATGCAGCTTTTGAGCCAAGACCCGGACACGATAACCCTCGGTAGACAGACTAACACGCTTCCTGATGCACGCTCTGTACTCAGTCCGTCCCCGCGGCGTGAGCGCAGGCCCCCCTTCCCACAGAAGTGTGCCGCACGCTGGCGGAAGGGCGTCTGGGTCTTCACTTTCCGTAGTCGTAACATACAAACAGCGCTTCACTTAGTTTCCAACATCTAAATTATGTGCATGCTGTAAAATGTCACTGACGGGAGCGGTGTCGGAATGCGCACCACGTTGAGTTTAGTATCCTAAGCGCACCCAACAGGACATGTTGGTTCTAAGATGACTGATTAATCACTGGCATTATTTGTCACCTCTCTTTGAAAAGAGAAGGATTTTATGATGGGTCCTCAGTGCACGTGAAGAGGGAGTCACTGACCCAGCCACGGGCCACCGGCCCCACCTAAGGTTGTTGCCCTGGTTCGCACGTGCAGGCAGCACAGCCCCCTCGCGGGACCCGATACACCGAACCACACAGCGCCCCCTCCCCCCTTAGCCCTGGTGGCTCACACCCCGGGCTAGGGGTCACCTTCCCCTGAGGTGTGCTCTGGGATGTAGGTGCTGGCCTACGCTGTGGCCTGGCCAGCACGGGGGTGGGGTGAGGCCACAGCACGGCCATGTTGATTTTGCGGCCCTCTTTCCCCCGGACTATACTTCCAAAGGAACACCCTCCTCCTTCCAGGACTGGCCCAGTGTGGCCCGTGTCATTTGGGAGTCGGCCTGCGGGCCGAGACCTAAAGCTCCGCCTAACCCTTCCCTGCCTCGCCAGCCTGGACACGGGGAGCCGGCAGCTGGCGCCAGGTCTTCTGTCCCTTGAGCCCCCACGCACCGGCTCTCTCCGGGGTTCTGGGCACTTTTCTTGAGCGATGACTTCAGAAAGCTGTTGAGGCCCCGAGCCGTCACGGCAGTCCACGCCGTGGTCAGGGCACGCCGGCCCGCGCTCAGAGCCTCCCCGTCACGCGCTGGCGGCCGTGGGTGCCGTCTTCGTCCCAGACAGAGACGAGAGCTGACTTTCTGAGGGAATGGCTCATATTCTGAGCGGTTCATACCTGAATTGACCAAAGTGAAAAGGGAGAATTTCCACGCATTTGAAATGATCCTGTGTTTCTTATCCTTGTTCATTTGCTCTAAGAAATGAAGTCCAGAATTAGGGCTGAGGGGTTGTGGGGGTTTTTTTCGTTGTCATTGTTTTTCAAAGACCACTAACCTGATCTCCCTTTTGTTTCCTTACTGTGATTTCAAACACGACGTGCTGTCCGCAGGACTCCCTGGCGGAAGTGGAGGAGAAATACAAGAAGGCCATGGTTTCCAACGCCCAGCTGGACAATGAGAAGACGAACTTCATGTACCAGGTCGACACGCTGAAGGACACGTTGCTCGAGCTTGAAGAGCAGCTGGCTGAGTCCAGGCGGCAGTACGAGGAGAAGAGCAAAGTGAGCCTCCGTGCGACGGGGCAGTGTGTGTATGTGAGTGTGTGTGTGTGTGTGTGAGTGTGCGAGAGAGTGTGCACGCGCACATGTGTGAGTGTGTGTGTGTTTGGATATATAATCAGTTTTTTATTTATTTTTACTTTTTAAAATCTATTTATTTTGAGAGAGAGGGAAAGTATGTGTGTGCAGGCGCACACGCCAGTAGGGGAGGGGCAGACACAGAGGGCGAGAGAGAATCTCAAGCAGGCTCCGCGCTGTCAGCACAGAGCCTGACTCAGCTCGAACTCACCAACTGTGAGATCATGACCTGAGCTGAAATCAAGAGCCAGACACTTAACCAACTGAGCCACCCAGGTGCCCCATTAGGATCATTTAAAAAAAAAGTTTTTATTGTTTATTTATTTTTGGGAGAGAGATAGAGAGACAGAGTTGTGAGCAGGGGAGGGGCAGAGAGAGAAGGAGACAGAATCTGAAGCAGGTTCCAGGCTCTGAGCTGTTAGCACAGAGCCCGACGCGGGGCTTGAACCCACAAGCTACAAGATCATGACCTCAGCTGACCTCAGATGCTTAACCGACTGAACCCCCAAGGTGGCCCATGATCATTTTTTTTAATGACAGTCCTCCACTTTTTCAGGAAGCCCAGACATCTGAGAGTAAGAATGCCAGGCCGTTTTGCTGTGGGATTTGAAATAACATTAATATTAATTATCATTATTATAATGTTAATGATAATATTAATATCGTGCACAACTTCAATCTGTAAACTAGAGACGATTTTACTGGGAAAATATGTGTATGTTTTGCACGTAAAATCAAGTCATAACTATGAAAAAACATGAAGCAGCGTGTTTGGATGGGCATAAATGAATGCTTTAATATTTTCCTGCGGGGGCACCTGCCTGGCTCAGTCAGTAGAACATTCGACTCTTGATCTTGGGGTCGTGAGCTTGAGCCCCACATTGGGTATAAAGATTGCTTAATAATAAAATCTTTAAAAAATGTTTTTCTATTAAACCACATTTCTGGATTTTTCATTTTGTTACCTCTTCTCCCTGAGAAATCATTGCAAATATCCAGTCTTTTAAGAAAATATCAATTTGCAAATCTTTACTGATTGGAGAAAGATACAATCCACTGAAGAATTAAATATCTTCAGGGGCACCTGGGTGGCTCAGTCATTTGAGTGTCCGACTTTGGCTCAGGCCATGATCACAGTTTGTGGGTTTGAGCCCTGCATAGGGCTCTGTGCTGACAGCTCAGAGCCTGAGGTCTGCTTCGGATTCTGTGTCTCCCTCTCTCTCTGCCCCTCCCCCATTCATGTGCACTGGCTCTCTCTCTCTCTCTCTCAAAAATAAACATTAAAAAAAGCTTTAAAGCATTAAATACTTTCATTAAGTTAATTTATGATAGAAGTAAAACTCTCAGCCTATGTTGAAATTAATGATGAGAGACTAATTAGATGTTCTTTGTGGGACATAAAGCAAGGAATACTTGTTTTTCATATTTTTAGGAATTGGTTGGTCTTTCAAACCCTGGGATAGTGTCTCATTTTTCAGAGTTGCTAAGATGAGCAGGAAATTCATTTTGTATGTGTCACTATATATATATTTTTTAACTGGCTCTGTCTCCCAAATCCCAAGGGTCAAAACCAGCCGCCATTAACAGCTCCAAGGCCTCCTTCTTTGACTGCTACAGCATTTAGTTAGTATTGAGTTAGAAAGCTAAAGAAGAAATCTCTTTATGAAGTTTCTGGAAGCGAGACTCTGAAGCGAAGGAGAAACTTCCCATGGGCACCTATGTCGTGTTGGAATCTTGGAGCAGAGGGAACGCCCTGGGCCCCACATGCAGGGGGGGGCTGTTCTAACACATGCTAAGTACCCCTAGGATGTCCTCACTTAGGCATCAGGAAGTAGACCAAGCACCCCCAAACCTAACCCCAGAGAATTTGGATGAATCTGGAACGTTGTCCCAAGCTGGGGAACACGAACCTGGCAGAGCCCCCAGCAGGCAGGCCCTTGTCACAGCGAGGAGGGGACCGGGGGCGAGTAATGATGCCAGGGCGAGAAGTGAAGGTCACGTACCTCCCAGAATAACCCCCTCGCCGCCCTAGGAGGTGCACCCTGCTGTCCCCGAAGCCGTCGGCAGTCACTTGGGTACCCAGTCGTCCTCAGGCACCGTGCAGCGTCTGAGCTTCTCGCGAGATCAGAAGAGCCTGCTGCCCGGTCCCTGGGGTGAGGGAAGGGTCAGACTGGGCGATCTTCGCGCTGCTGAGCGCTTTGGCCTCCCCACCTTTTCCTGTTTTGTCCCTGGGGTGGGGGCAGAGTACAGAGTCACCATGTTTATTTGTTTTTGAGAGAGCGAGAGACAGAGCGCAAGCAGAGGAGGGGCAGAAGAGAGGGAGACACAGACTCCAAAGCAGCTCCAGGCTCCGAGCTGTCAGCACAGAGCCCGACGTGGGGCTCAAACTCATGAACTGTGCGATCATGACCAGAGCCGAAGTCGGATGCTTAACCGACTGAGCCCCCAGGCGCCCCTCCTTGTCACATTTCAAAATCAGGGAGAGGTTCCTCCTAAGTCTGTGGCACAGCCAGCTCCTGCGCGACAGCCTGGGCTAAGGCAGCCCCCGGGGAGGGGCGCCCCCTGGGCCGTGCCGGCCCGCGCAGTGTGGGGGCACCCGTCAGAGGCGCCGGGTCCTCAGGGAGAGCTCCCAGTAAATCACAAAGTGCAGAGAAGTGGGCTCACATTGCTAGAAAGGCCTTGAAGGTTGCAATACCATGGTAACAGGTGGTCTGTCCTGAGGTCAGTGTAAGTCACGGGCACGTGGACTAGGAAGACAGAGAGGGTGGCCGCACCACACACGAACGCTCTCTTCCTCCCTTGTAGGAGTTCGAGAGGGAAAAGCACGCCCACAGCATCCTGCAGTTCCAGTTCGCCAAAGTGAAGGAGGCCCTGAAGCAGAGGGAGGAGATGCTGGAGGTGGGTAGCGCTTCCTAGTTTTCTTTTCCTTCCATGGCTTGGGAGTGGTTCCTGGGTTCATGATGAAAGTTAATCGTTTTCTCAAAAATTGAGAGTTGAGGCTAATTCTTCATCGTACCTCAACATGAGGAAAACAGTCCCTTTCGTTGGTGAAGATTTTCATTCCTTTTTTTTTTTTTAATGTTTATTTATTTTGAGAGAGGGAGAGCACGTGTGCATGTGCGAGCAGGCGAGGGCCAGAGACAGAGAATCCCAAGCAGACTCCATGCTCGGTGCAGAGCCCAATGCGGGCTCGGGGTCACAAACTGTGAGATCGTGCATGACCTAAGCCGGACACTTAACCGACTGAGCCACCCAGGTGCCCCGAAGATTGTCATCCTTTGGTGGCTTTGTGTTTGTTTTGGGAGGTGTGGCAGACAGTATAATGGCCCCCTAAGATGTCCATGTCCTGATCCCTGGGACCTGTGGATGTGACCCCTTACCCAGTCCAAGGGACATTGTAGGTGTGATTAAGTTAAGGACCTTCTGATGGGGAGTTGGCCCTAAATTATCTGGAGGCCCGGTATTTTCACAGGGTCCTTGTACAGGGAGACAGGAGAGCCCAAGGCAGCAGTAGGGAAGGTATGAGGGGAGATAGAGGCAGGTGCCATGTGAGGAAGGGCCATGAGCCAAGCAGTATGGCGGCCTCTGGAAGCTAAACAGAAGGGGAGGGTACAGGGTCTCTCCTAGAACCTCCGGAAGAGAATCCAGACCTGCCCACCCCTTAACTCCAGTGCGTAAGACTCATTGTGCCCTCCTGAGTTCCAGAACTCTCAGCACATAAACCCGTGTTGTTTGGAAGCCACTGAATTTGCAGTAGTGTATGATGTTCACCATGGAAAACCGATACAGGCTTGGTTCTAACTTTTTAACTTGATCAAAACTTTAGTGCCTGTCAGTAAGAATGTCACCCAGGCAGGACTTCTGCCTGTGCTGTGGCAGCTGGGGGACAAGGCAGAGGAAAAGGCTCCAGTGAGCAGAGATATGAATTGATAAGGGCTGATACAGGGCCCGGTGCTGGTGTTGCTGGCTCCCTGAGGCTCCCTGGGGTTCTCTGGGGCTTGCTGGGGCTCCCTGGAGTTCTCTGGTGCTCCCTGGGTTCACTGGGGCTCTCTGGGGTTCACTGGGGCTCCCTGGGGCTCTCTGGGGTTCACTGGGGTTCACTGGGGCTCTCTGGGGTTCACTGGGGCTCCCTGGGGTTCACTGGGGCTCTTTGGGGTTCACTGGGACTCTCTGGGGCTCCCTGGGGTTCACTGGGGCTCCCTGGGGATCACTGAGGCTCGCTGGTGGTCAGAACTCTCGGATTATCTGGCCCCGCCCTTTGTCTTCTCGCTTAACCCTATATCTGCTTTCTTTCTATCTGTTCCTATTCTTCAGGAAATCCGACAGCTACAGCAGAAGCAGGCGGGTTATATCAGGGACATTTCTGACCTTCAGGAAACAATAGAGTGGAAAGACAAGAAGATAGGGGTAGGGCTCCCACGTCTGTGCAGCGCTCACGCGGGCAGTCCGCTAGCAGATGTGGGGCTCTCCGCCTCTGGTTTGCAGAAACGCTCGGAGGAGCGTGCATGCGCCCCATGTGCCATAAAATCATGATACAGACAACACCCTGGCTTCCCCCAACCGGCACTAACCCTGACTTTGAAGCTGACTTCCGGGACGGGGGCTGGGCGTCTCGTTGACACTCCCCGGGCTGTTGGCCTGCACCGAGCAGGCGGGCAGCACGCGAGATGTGAGCAACGAGGAAGGCACGCGAGGGCAGGGCGACCACGCGGAGGCTCAGAGGCCTCCTGGGTTCTCCGTCTGGCGTTGCCTGGGCTTTTCTTAAAGGCATTTGAGGAAGCCTCCAGGTGGCAGGTGCTGTGACCGGGGTGTTCCCACCTTGAAATGTGCCCACGGAGGCCTCAGGCCCCCCTCCTTTAATGAGACAGGCAACCCACCTGCCTTTAGGCATGATGAGTGGGAAGGAACCCACCGCCATGCTTCCTAATGACAAACGTCTTCCAGAACCTGGCAGCCTCCATGGCGCCAAGGTGGGGCTCTGATGCTAAAGCACGCTGTCCATCCACGTGCTTCATGGGGCTGCCATGCCCAATCAGGACTTGGGGAGCACGCACGTCTGCTTCCAGACCACTTTGTGCTTATCCGGGACCACAGACGCCGAGCATCAAGTACAGAAATAGTCCCCAAGTTGCTCAAAGAGTGGTCACCTGGGGTTTTCTTAAGCACATATCCTTATGCCTCATTTATCTTTCATTTAAATGGGCGCATGGCTTCTGCTAATTCTCTCACCGAGCTGGAACACTTTGCAAATACAGTAGCTTCCAGATGTTCATGCCTTTAAAGGGAGCATGAGGCAACATTTCTTGGCTGGCATAAATTAATGCGAAGCTTATTACTTGCATTTTGTCTCTGTCTTTAAGCGTCTGCTACACATGCCTTAACTCTGTTGGTGGTTTGTGTAGCGGAAGCTGCCTCACCCCCACTTCAGTCACCTGCTCACCCGTGCGAATCTTCTTTCTCTCTCTCTCTGCTCTGCTCACACTCAGGCTTTAGAGAGGCAGAAAGAGTTCTTTGATTCCATAAGGAGTGACCGAGATGATCTTAGAGAAGAAGTAGTGATGCTGAAAGAGGAATTGAAGGTATGAAGCCACAGTATAGTGCAAAACAAAAACACCCACGTGACAGCGGCTTCTGGGGTTCTCAACAGTGACTGTGTGTGTGAACTGGTGTTAGTTAATTTTGTGTTATTGGTTTTAGTTGTGGGGTTTTTTTGTTTGTTTTTAATGTTTATTTTTGAGACAGACAGCATGCACAAGCAGGCGAGGGTCAGAGAGAGAGGGAGACACAGAATCTGAAGCAGGCTCTAGGCCCGAGCTGTCAGCACAGAGCCCGACCCGGGACTCAAACCCACGAACCGTGAGATCATGACCTGAGCGCTTAACTGACTGAGCCACCCAGGCGCCCCAGATTTTAGTCCTGTTAATTACAAATCTTAGGCTCACTGACACTGAAGAGACACATCAAATGAGCGTAGATTCCTTCGGGTCTGTTTACAAGTATATCTTATCTCGAAAGCAACTCTGATTTCCAAGAATTTTCTAGATTTTTTTTTTCTCACGCTCATTAATAAATTCTCCAGGACATTACTCAGTTAGAGAACGTATGTGTTTCTTTATACTAAAGACTCAAACGGAAGGACTTCTCCAGCTGAACAGCGGTGTGGATGAGGCCCACACTAATTAGACTTTGAGACCCAGTGGTTTGAGAAAGTCCTACATCCTGTTTGGGCCAAGTCAAGGGGTCTCCAGCTGCTGGCTGGACACTGAGTTAAGAAAAACAGACTCTGGGTGGGTTATCAGCATTGGAGGAGACAGAGCTGGGAGAGGGTATGGCCGAGGCAAATTCCTGCATCAGCAGTGGGAGCACATCAGTGTCAGCGGCTTATAGTCAGGGGCCAAGGCCAGAGCAGTCAACCAGAGGGGATGGGCTCCTATCAGTGCACCTCCCAGGGCTGTGAGTCCGGTGCGGGGGCCCCCTCCAACTCGGGGAGACAGCTGGGGGCAGCAGGCATAGCGACTGAGTCCACAATCCCTTGTGACGTGCACAGCCTGGAGTTGCCAAGTGTTAACTCTTTAGAGTGTTTCGCTGTGTAGTGAGCATGAATTCTAGTTCCTCTGAATATAGCACACATTCCAGCCACTTCTTTATTCCCTCTTTAGCATAAATTGTGCTTATTCCTTGCAGAACACGCACATAACCTCTTTCTTTATCTCTGTCTCTCTTTTTAAAGAATGCACCCAGGGTTTTAAAAGTAAGGTCACTTGACAGTAGTTGGCTTGACGTCCTCCTCCGTGGCAGCCTGCAGGCCACTGCCTGCGGTTATACCAGATGCCCATTAATAGTGTCTTGTCACCAGCGTGTTAAGACATGGGATTGATTGGAGCCTGTAAGAAAGAGGCAGCCTCTGGAGGAAGATGTCCCAGGCTTATGAGTGTTGATAGAATACTTATGAGCGTGGTGTCTACCGCTTCTCCGACTCTGTGGAAGTTTCTCGACTTCAGGAAAAAATAGTTTCTTTTTAATAATTATTAGTAAAACAGAGTGTCACCTACTGTCAGTCAGCGAGTATTGCAACGAGTCTGTTTTTGTTCCCAGAAACACGGAATTGTCCTCAATTCAGAGATCACCACCAACGGAGAGACTTCCGACAGCCTAAACAGCATCGGACACCAAGGTCCTACCAAGATAACAAAAGAGGAGTTAAATGCTCTCAAGACGATGAGTGACGGGACGCTAGGTAAGTGCCGGCTCTCTTTTGCGTTCTTTCATCTTCCGGTCAGCATCGCTGCACCTTCCATGCATTATTGAATTGGCGTAATCATCACTGATCAATTAACAATCACCCAGCATGCCATGCGTCTGTCACTTCATGGGAATTTCCCTGCCGAACGCTGCGATCACCCGCGTGTGTTGCTGGCACACGTCTCTGTGCTCACCACCGATGGCTGAAGAATACGTTTCTCTCGCTTCTCAAAGCCTCCAAGTGAAACTGAAATACGAGGAAAATCGTCTCAAAATTAAGGGACCGTTTTGGCAGTTACTGTTTGCCTTTGCTCAGACAGGTGCCGAGTACGGCTTTTAACTTACCCTGTTGCAGATCTCTCAAAAGGTCAGAACAACCGAGGCTATAAAGCGAGTTAGTTAACCCTGTTTACAAGCCAGCGTTCCACATTCTAGACACCATGCAGTCAGTGTTCTAAGGTCTTGAGGTGCCTGCGGACGGCAGTTTGGGGCTTGTGACATAGAGCCTGGTTGACATTCTCAAGCTACCACTCAGGTGCCCTAAGTGGGGGACAAGTCGGACAGGCAGCCCCAGGCTGGGGGCTGGGTAGGGGGGCAGGTACAGCATGAGAGATGGCAGCCCCAGGCTGGGGGTGAGTGTGGTCAGAGTGGGAGCTGTACTTTACCAACAAGAGTCTGAATATGCTTTCCCCTTGTTAAAGGTGCCATCGCTCTGTAGGTCACATTTTGTTTCTGAAAGAATAGAAATTGGGAAATCCGACAGATTGTAAGAGTATTTGATGCAGTTTGCAAACACCTGAATAGACTCACCTGTTGAGATTTGTCATAATATTTGGCTTTTGGATAAGCCTTTGGAATCCGGCATGCTGCCCGGAGTTGCAGGCCAGCAGATAGGGCCTCACCCGTCACTTACGACCAGCTGGGCCCCTGCTATTTACAGAGAGGTCAGAACACAGCCGGGGCCAGTGACTTTGAGTTCCCCATAGAGGCTTTCACTGTACTTCTTATTTATGGAAACATAGAAACCTGTACCCCCGAGCTTCTCGGGACCCACTTCCTAGGTAGATACTTCATCACCTCCATGACCACTACAGACATACAGCGCTTCCATTGTGCGTAAGTTCCTGAAAGAGGAGAACTGGATTGTTTTCCATCATACCTTTATGTAAGCTCTGCGAGTGGCTGGGAATTTGGCCATGCCACTCTCGTTCAAACACACATTTTATCAATCTTTGTTAACCATTCAAAACCAACCCTCCAAGAACCAGAAATATCACTTTTATAAATGGTCTCCAAATGTTTGTTGACCGCAGACCCCATCAGTAAATAATTATTGGAACTTTCCAATATGTATATTTTTAATTTACATATATACATATGTATTCACAAATTATTCGTGGACACATACTATTTCATCAATACAAAGTGTGTATTATAAAACATGTGGCCCGATAGACATCCTTAAAGTGTGAAGCAAAACTAACTGGAAGTCCCACTACTTTGCCCATTTTGTCTGGGGGAAGTGCACCCACCTGTGGAGACCACGGTCTTTGAAAATTTTCAAGACTTCGCTTCGCAGCAACATGGCGTCTGAGACGCTGGGGGTGCATTTGTTGGAGAATCTAAAACTTATACGCGTTGGTTCCAAAGTCGTAACATGTTTTGTTTTTTTTTTAGTTTGTAATTCTTTAGTTGGTGAGTAACTGATTGTTAATTAAGTGGCCACCTTGCCCTTGAGCATGGCCTCTGCTAAGACACCCCCCAGTCCCTTAGGGAATGGAGCAGGGGTGTCCCGGGCACAAATCTTTCTCAGAAACACAGGAATTAGATGGCGGGGGGTTGATTTCCTTTTACGTCATATGAGCTATTTCAGAAGCAGCTCCCTTACCACTGACCAAAGGCTAAATGTCTTCAGGGTAACTGAAGGTTTCTGATTGCTTGGCAGGGGGTTTAGAGCCCTGCGGTGTGCAGCACAGGTAGACAGCTGAGGAAGCGCGTAGCCCAGATGTGCGTTTGGGAATGAGAAGGGGGAACAGGAACTGTAGACCGTTCTCAAACCCCTCATTTCGGATTGTTTGGCTGCCTGGTCCCGAGCTCTGTGTTACAACTTCACAGCACCCTTTGAAAATCAGTTCCCACAAAGATGCACCGGCCGCCACTCTTACCTCGGCAATGGCGGCAGTGGCCTTCGCCCATCAGACGTTGGCTGATGCAATGGCTGCTTTGCCGCACAGAACTGGCCAAGGGCTTCTGTTTCATGTGACTCTCTCACGATTCTCTCTCCTTAGGATTGGGGTCGGGCGGGAGAGAGGACGCGGGTTTACACTGTAATATGTGTTAAGCAGTCGCCACATCACTGGGTCCCTTCAATTTTCTCAATGGTCTTTTAGGAAGAGCCAGTGAAGTGGAGGTGAAAAGCGAAATTGTGGAGAATGTGGGGAGAAAAGGAATCTTGCAGAATACTGAGCAAGAACAGCACAAGGAAGACCCAGCCCGGGAGCGTGTGGACACAGAGGTGTCCCATCCTGGTGGAAATGCCGAGGGCCAGAAAGCCTCTGAAGACAGGGCTCCCTCACCAGGAGTCTTAGCAGATGGTCCAGATGAGGAACAGGTTCAAAACCAGAGTCCTGAGAACGCTCCCTTCCTTGAAAGCACAGAGCAGGTTGAGTCCAGTGAGGCCATAAACACACCAGACAATAGGACTGGGGCTTCCCTTGAGCGGTCCAGCTGTGCGGGCGAATTAGATGGTGAAATGCCAGATCCTGTGGCCGGGCAGGACAGTTATAATGCCTTGGATGTCAAAAACCAGAGTAAAGAATCTACAGAAACACAGGAAGATTTGAAAACCAGCCTGGGAGCAGATAGCACAAAGCCATGTCAAGACTCTGCATCTCCACAAATATCTGAAGTTGGAGGGCTGGGCAGCATAGGTGTGGGGGAGCGAGGTGGGAGCCCCACAGAGGGTGTGGCGGAGGCAGGGCTCACGGGGCTTGGAGAGCAGGTGGGCACAGTAGCCTCCGGCCCTCCGAGGGACAGCGGCGACGCTGTGAGTGATGATGAAAAGCACGCGGTGGATACCCCAACAGAGTTGGACCCAAGCTCAGGGCACGATCTAGAGAAAGAGACCACCATGCAGGGAATTGTGGAGCCCAAAGAGCTCCCGGTGGAGAGCACAGCAGTAGATTGGGAGAGCGATGAAAAGGAGGACCAGGAAAGGGGGCTGAGGGATGAGAAACCAATCCAGACAGAAGTGCAGAACATTCCTTGTTGCCCAGCAGCCAGAAGCAGCCCTCAGGGAGCGACGGGCCCAAGTGTGGCAGACACAGACAGCAAGCCCCTAGATACAAAAGAACCCGAGGAAGAAAAGAATGACCAACAGGGAGAGGCATTGGATTCGTCTCAGAAGAAGACAAAGAACAAGAAGAAGAAAAACAAGAAGAAAAAATCACCGACACCTGTGGAAACCCTAAAAGATGTTAAGAAAGAGTTAACCTTTCAGAACCCAGATTTAAGTGAAGGTAAGGAAGAAGAGCAGGTAAAGCTTACCGATGAAAAAGCAGCTGTAGAATCACAAGTTGAGGTACCTGAAAGCCCAGAGAAGGAAAGTGCAGCAGGAAGCAGTGAAAATGTTGATGGTCCAGAAAATTCTAAAATTGAGTTGGATGAAAAACTTAACCAAGAAGATAATGATGTAAACACTAAGGCAGGGAAAGAAGCAGCCGATGGCGACACATTGGCGCCGGGAGATGACACAACCCAGTCGTCAGGCGCGAGTGCCGACAATAAGGAGCCGGATGAAGCCATTATAAGAGATGAGGCTAACGAAGATGGCGCCACTCACAGCGTTCCAGAAGCAGAGAGTGGAGAAGCGTCCGGCGGCACCCTGCTGGAGAACGGGAGTCCCCTTGAGGACTTCGATGATGCCTCTCAAACAGGAAGCCGGGAGCACCAGGAGGTGGCAGAATGTCCCAGTGAGGTAGTCGGGAATGTTGTAGAAAATGAGGATGACTTAGCACCCACAGGAGAGCTGGGAGCCTCCGATTCAGACCAGCCGAGAGGCGGAAGCGAGAAGGGCAAAAGCAAAGAGGACTGTACGCTGTCGTAAGTGGAGTTGAGGCCGGCCGTCGAGGGGGCCGAGGACTGTACAGTAGCTCCGGCTGTCAGAGGCCCATCTGCTCTCTCCACTCTCTGTCTACAACGTCCCACACTGATATAGATGTACCACGTGACAATCAACCACCGAGCTGTCTACCACGTCGAGTTATAGACTGTTACTTGGGGATGTATCCTTCCACATTAAGCCTATCGCCCCGATGAGAAAGAAAGACATGCTTGTAATCAGTATACGTTCTAACCAAGAGCATTCCAGTAGAGTCAGACATAACGTACACTTCATATTTCTGCTTAAAATCAAAATAAAGTGACTTAAGCATTTGCCTTAGGCTGATACTCTTGACCAGATCTGTCAGCATACAGTTGACCAAGTGGCATTCTGAGATGCCCATGGTGTAAGCATAGTGATATTTAAATTGATTTGTCTCATTCAGATATATGTACTTTCATATTTAATGTTGATGTGTACGTTATAACCTATGAGGTATTTTATTTTAAAAGGAGATAAATGGCCAAATAGCGTATAGGTCACTGAGTGATAAGATTTGCACCTTAGGACAGTAACGCATCATGTTCGGGATAAGAAATAAATACCTTCCAGCACTGGGAGATCTTACTTCCCTTTACCTCATTCAGATATTTTCTCTCAAACCAGTACGTTTTGATGTCATTGTTAATGATACCCGAATTTGTTTTGTAGATTTCGACCTCACTCTGTGCTGATTATGTACCAAAGTCCTTTTATACAAAGATTTTTTTTTTTTAATTTGTTTCTGGAAGAGACACGTGTTGAAATTGCACTTCCTAATGCAGTATTTGTGTGGGGGGACCATTTCTGAAATTTATTTTTTTAACCTTAGAATTGCTTCTTTCTATTTGTCTAACTGTTATTCAAAAGAGAGGTGACCATTTTTTATGCAAACTGCTAATTGGACTATCACCGGATATTTTAAATAGAGATCCACTTTTGGTGTTTTGGTATAGATATTTTCATTTGCTGTTTCTCAGTATATTCTTATTGGAAAATTCTCGATTTGATCTTCCTGAAGGAAATATATCTTTTCTATATACGGAAGCCTTTTAAAAAATAATTGTAAAGTTAAATTAAAAAAACTGTAAAAATATTCAGATTACAAAGGACTGTACGTTATGAATGCCGTGGACACTTTATGAGAATATATGAATTCATGTCACTGTTACAAGATATAATTGAGTGCAAAAAAGACCAGAACCTCAATCAAACTTGAGGCAAGCGTGTTATTATGTAACTGAAATAAAAAAAGAGCATTTTATCATTTGACAAGCCTGTGGTTCCAGTCTTTGGCCTGCCTGAATTCCGACAGGCTCCTATTCTGCGTGATGTGATCTTTAAAGCAGTCCCTCCCTCCAGGCTGCTGATTCCCCAGTCAGCCTCGTGTGAAGGACTCAGGCCTGATGCCCTCTGTCAGTAATGACTCGGCTTCTCTCCTGGCTCCTAGGCCAGGGCTAGCGTTGGGAGAATTGAGAAGATCTTCCGTCATAGAGTCCCCTGTGATGTGTGAGTCTGGTGAGGAGCCCGTTATCTCCAGCTAGCCCTGTTCTGTCGCTCAGCTTACCTGTCCCAATACTTAGAATGTTTTGAAGAATATGGTGAAAATAAGCATTGAGGCTTCCTGTGTAAGTGTCCTGAAGTCAGGGACCGATAGACCCTCTCCACCAGTGCTACCTACACGGACAAATACGGGGCTTGCTAGAGATCGAGTCCAAGGGCTGCACAAGACTTGAAAGGGGGTCAGCGGATGCCCGTAACTTCAGCAAAGCCGCGTCCACCCTGGAATGCACGTTCGGAAACCCCTTTCATTCCTACCTACAAAGGCCCCTGGGGAGGTGATTCAGCAACCAAACCCACTAAGGGGTGAGATCATCCAACCATTTTAAGGTCTCTCTTTCCTCTCTTACTCAACAGCACATGTAAGGGCACTGTGGCACACTTCATACCCCACAGGCCAGCTGTCCAGTGGTCTCAATTATCCACTCATTCATTTAAGTAATGGACTTTTTGATCACTTCATGTCTGGGAGGCACTATGCCAGTGGACAAGCAGAAACGAACCAGCTCCTCATGGAAGCGGGCAGCTGAGAATCAGCAAGCGAGCAAAGAAAGAAAAAAAGGGATTATGAACAGCCACCCCATCTCTTGATAATCTAAGAGCCTTCAGTGTGAACAGCAGTGACTCTGCTCCAGCGGGGAAATGACATTGTAGCACGGTTATTGATGTCCACGCGAAGGCCCTTAAAGTTACCAAGAAATCGTTACCTTAGGTAATTCAGGTCAGGAAGGCACAGAGGCATATGAGGCAATTTGGAAAGATTCTGTGTCAAAAGATTGACTTAGAAAAGAATGGAAAGCCTTCCTGTCAGCCACATCCCCAGAGACACCCAGGCCCCTGAGATTTCAGCAGGATCCAAAACAGAGGAGAATGCTGATCGTTGATGCCTTAAATTTAAAAACGAGGATATTTTCCAGCCCCAAACCAGAATGTACTACTGTATATAAAATGAAAACCTTCCTCCAAAAGTATAATTAAGTCTAATTATGAGTCTATGTGAGAAACAGGGAAAGGTAATGGAATTTTGAGTGACAGCTTGTTACAATGTACAGAAGTTGAGAGGCAGTAAAAGTTTTTTCAAGAGTTTTTGGGAACAGGATGTATGGCCCTGAGTCTTAGTGAATGGAAAACCTGAACATTTACATTTCCACTCTCACCAGGACCCTGCAGTGTTAGCTCTGGGGGTTTGCAGAGATAGACCCCTTTCCTAGGAGTCCGCCTCGTACAGCCCACTGTCGAAATGCGGAACATCAGAGATCCATTCCCAATGTCCAGGCTCCGGAAGGAGAGGAAGGGGTGTTTGTGCCTATGTTATATTATGTTAGAATACCTGCTTATTCGGTGTGATGATCGTATACAGCAAAAACTGTCCTTTAGGAGAAAAAACCCTCCTTCTCTCCTTTTCATCCTATCCACTGTGTGACTGAGGTTTTTTCAAGATGTGAATGACCTTGGTGGTGGCTGACGTATACAATCCCCATCTGTACAGACTTCTTGGGCCCTATAAACAGGGGGAAGGGCCTGTCCCGTGCTCTGCCTTCTGCAGGAAGGAGATGCTCTCCGGAGTGGGGGGCTGGCCCCAGGGACGGTGAAAACCGACCACGTGGATTATAGTCAGACTACGTCAGTGCAAGGCAGGAGTGGATTCCGTGAGAGGCCTTGGCCTCTGCCTCTCTTTGCAAACGCAGACGGGAGGTGACGTTTCCTCTGCCGTGGGCAGAGGGGCGTGGGGCCCACAATGGCTGAAATTAACCCCCCACAGGGAAGATTATGCTCCCGGTGGCGTATTATTCTGAGCAAGCTGCTCACCCTCCCCGTCTTTGTTTGCTCTCTGAAAATGGAGTCGGAAACTGGCCTCCGGAATTGTGTGCCAGATCCGGGCAGGGCGGCGCAGAGAAGGAGGGCTCAGGGACCGTGGTGGCCGCCGGTGGGTGACCAGGCTGCACCTGGACCGATGAGGTGACAATGTGCAGACCAGAAGAATGACCAGGAAGACCAGGGGGGTTCAGATGCTTCCGGAGCCATCTGCACTGGCTGCCCCCTGTCCCAAGTCCCTGTCACACCAAGTGCTTCTCAGGTCTCTTAACACACGTACCGGAAAGTTCATTGGAGTTTAATACAGAAAAAGAAGACTTTTAAAACAAGTGAAACCTTTAATAGGCAACTCATTTTGATTTCTCAGTTTAAGAGAGAACTCTGGAGTTGAAGCACCCTGACTTCATTTGCTTTGACGCCTTGTTTCTAAAAACTGCAAGTGTGGTCTTTAAATGAATAGTTTATACCTATTTGTAACCGGGTATTATGGGCCAACCATGAGCAGTAGCACTTAGTAAATACAGGGTAAAGGAGGGTGTGCGGTGCCCTGGTTAAGTATTATAGTAGCCACCATACTGACAATACCCCACCGTGCAATCACCACATCAGACTTGGTTTTTAAAACTGCAAAAAAAAAAAAAAAAAATTGTAAAACTGCAAAAAGTGAGGCCCGTCTAGTTTATACCAAACTAATGTGCTCCTTTCTTTTTTCCATTTCCTTTGAACAATTTAGTTTTAAACTTCCTCTCCAATTCTGCTTCCAAACTTTTCTTCCTTAAAAGTTTACTTCTCAATTTTCATGTTCTCACCATAAGAGTGAAGGTCACGTTAGCCTTATTTTTTGTTTGCCTAGTGCTATCGTTACCTTTTAACATGGATTTTGTACTTGCCGTCCATGATATTGGAAGTCTTCATAGAAAGAACTATCATAATAAAATTGTGCCATAGGTAGGTGAGGTTCAAGATCATTTTCAAGTATGTTCAGTGCTTCTTATGATGCCTATATAAACTATAAGATAAAATAAAAAGTAATGTTGAATAAAGATCTGGGCTTATAATGTTTTCATTTCAGCATTGGGTGGGCTTGCAGAAGAGAAAGAATAAGTTATCAGAAGCAGTTTGATTACGTACATTAAAATAGAACTCCAGAGGATCATAAATTTATGCTTGACACTTCTGCTTTCGTGTCTTTTGTAATTGAAAATAACAACTTGGGGTGTTGGAAAAGCAACTTAGAGAAAGCGTGTAACCTGGGTAAGCATGTTAGATAGGTGATCTTTTTTTAGATGAAAACAAATTGCATTTTATACAGATTACTTCCTTTCCACGTGGTGAGTCAGAGCTGTGCAGTGTGAGATCAGTGGCCCCTCAGGAGTAAGCGTCTGGGGCCGGGAGTCCGGCTTCTACGCCAAGGTCCGGGTTTAGATCTGGAATGAGGAAGGAGTGCCATGGTTAGGGGTGCGGCCCTGAGGACAGTTCTCAGCTGTTCTGGGCCTCGGGTGCTCGCCTGTAGAAGAGGGACAAAGTGGCAAGGCTCACCTGTGGGGCTTTGCGGGTGAAGGCGCACCTGCTAGAGCCGAACGGGGATGCAGTGACCGCGAGGGACCCATTAACATCACTGTCACCATCACATCATCCTGATTTGTCCTTTACCGAGGTGTAGGGTGGGTTTTGCCCAAACCCAGGCCTTGGTCCCCTCCTCTGTACTCAGGATCGTATTCCTCGACCCCCCCTTCAGAGAAAGGTTTTGGGGGGAAGGAGATTTTGAGATGCTTCTGTATCTGGGTCGGGGGAGGGCGATAGAAACCTAGAGCATTACTGCGTCTTTCTTGAGATAGTATCCGCTCTTGACAAGCGGGTTAGCAGATGTGTTGTCAGCAGACTTAGTCATGGACACGTAGTCAAAGCTCTGACCCTGGTGAGCCTGTGAGAGAAAAGAGAGTGATAAATTCTTCAGGGACATAAACTTGCCAAGTCAAGGATCATGAAAATGCCGGTGATACGTATCACGATGTTCGGTGTGTTTGTACCTTGCTAATGATGTTAAACCACGGAGCCTGTGAGATCTTGTGTTGCAGTGTGGTTTGGCGCTAGAGTCCTTGCATGTAGCCCAAAGTGGAAGATTAGCCTGTTTGCATGCAGCCGGATGCTGTCCCTGATGAGATAAGCATGTTGTAGGAGGCTGACCCAAGTCAACTTCCCTCGGCTGACGTCCTCCCCAGCCCTGCCTGTGGCCTCATCCGCTGTGGTACGTGTATAACACCTCCATCATCCGTTTCACTAACCCCAATGCACATTCCTCGGTTTAGCGGTCTGCTGAAAGGTGCGCTACACGGATTCACCTCAACCTCTGTCTTTTTGATTTCTTTAGATATTAGGTTGAAAAGGCTTCTTGACGAACGGGAATGCTTATTGGAACAGGTAACAATCTTTTCATTACTTGACGAGTTCTCCAGCGGGGGCACCTGAAACTGACCACCTTTCCATATACTTCTTCCTTGATCGGGAAGACCCTAGCATATCATGCCCGGCAATGATTATCAAGCCAACCTGTGTTCTTAATATTTTTATCCAAGTAGGGCGTTATGGGTCACGGGAGGTTTAGAGAGGATATCCCCAAAGACTCAAGGCCATGGCATTGAATTTGGGACGCTCCATGCAAATTGCTGCTTAAATATTTACGGGAAGAGCCTGGATTAACCATTGAGGCCGTGAGGCAAGAGCCACCCCAGACACCGCTTCTCTCACTTCTGCTGGCTCAGAGAAGTCGGTTTGGGGATCTCTCAGCAATCAGCACCCCTTTCCAGCAGATTCGTTCCAGCCGATCAAAGTTGTTTTAATTGTGGTTTACCTCCATGGCTCTCGTCCACCTTAGGAAACACTAAACAGCCGTTCCTTTG